TGCTGTGTATTTGGTGGGATCAGCTAGGTGTAGTGTATTATGAGTTGCTTAATCCGAGCGAAACAATTACTGGAGCCCTCTATCGAACACAATTGATGAGATTGAGCCGAGCTCTGAAAGAAAAACGCCCTCAATACTATTCTAGACACGAAAAAATTATTCTTCTGCATGACAATGCTCGTCCACATGTTGCGGCTCCCGTAAAAAAGTACTTGGAAACACTTGATTGGGAAGTGTTACCCCACCCGCCGTATTCACCAGACATTGCACCGTCCGATTATCACCTGTTTCGGTCCATGGCACATGCTCTGACGACGCAGCGGTTTACATCTTATGAGGATACCAAAAATTGGGTTGATTCGTGGATAGCCTCAAAAGACAAGGAGTTCTTCAGACGTGGAATTCGAATGCTGCCTGAGAGATGGGAAAAAGTGGTTGCAAGTGATGGGCAATATTTTATATAAATCTATATTACCGTTCTTCTATAATAAATATTTAATTTGTGTTAAAAAACGGCGGAAACTTATTTGTACTCCTAATAATAATCCGAATAACGGTAGCAGTAAGCTCGCCACTTGGATGGATTTTATTTTTGCTCCATGACATATAACCATGTCATATGTAACCTATACAGTACTATATGTACATTATATCAGCATACCAGTAATATCCAACAAAACTATTTATCAGTGATGTGTAGAATGCAGAAGTCTCATAGCTCTTCGTTTTATTCTAAATCCTCCTTTGTGCACGCAGTACGACTATGGAACTCACTACATTAGCCACCTTCAAGAACCTAATTAAATAGGGGAAAGGGATTGTTAACAATGGAGTTTGACAGCCCCATTGCTAGTAATATGCCCTATCAGGTCAACCTCCGCGTGGTTCCTCCTGGAAACCAACGTGAACAATTCATCCTTATCTATCATCCTTTACTGGTGCCCTATCAGCGTATACCGATAACGCGGTATATCACCTATAAAAAAAACCTAATTAAATCCTACTACCCGTCATTATAATTTGTTTTTCTTTTTCTCTTGTCTTGTTTTTATCTTCCGCACCTACTTGTTTCGTTATTGTATATGAAATAATTATATATAAGATTAAAATATTTTTTTTACAACACAGGAGGCAAACGAGCATGCGGCTATATGAATAATGTTACAATATGTATATATCTTAATATATGTTATGTATTTTATATATTTATTTAAGTAATATATACCTATTATTATAAATGTTTACGTCTATGTATGGTATTCATATAATTATTTGCATATTCTTTTTTAACATAAGTAGTTTGTTTGAATAATATTAGATATTATTATTTTAATTTCAGCTGTTAACTGTCCACTGCTGAACATAAGCCTTTCCCATAAGGAAAGTGTTGCCAGTAGTTGCCACGCTTGACAGGCAGGTTGACAACCGCAGTTAGGCTTTTAGAGATGTTTTAAGAGGGACACTGCTATCCATCCTGCTCGCCCTCGCTTAGTTGACTCTTACGACACCCACGAGAAAAGAAGGAATGGCCTATTCTATGCCGGACCACACACCAATATTAGATATATTTATTGTCAAATATTTTTTTCCAATTCTTTTTTCCTCTATCCAGCTACCAGCTAAATGAATTTATAAATTTGAATTTGGAATTCTTAACCAAAGAGAAGATAATTTATTTCAGATCAAAGTGGTTAGTACGACAAAACGCTAATTTCATATGTAGGGATAATATATATACTGTTTTGTATTATACTTTAAGTGGTGCAAAATAAATAATTAAATAGAACCGCTGACTACCCCATCAGGGATTACAATCGTGAACATATATTTTATTGTCATTTTATACCAAAATAAAGGCCAAGCAATCGACGATACTTATAAAAAGCCGACTCGGGAACTTCATGCGCCATACAAAGCGGCGGCTCGGACGAATCGATTGAGCAACAGGTCTCTGTATACCTACTACCTACGGGTCACTGGTGTCACGACTCGGATAAATAGCGCGGGGGTCACTGGATCGTGACCCCTCAACAGACTCGTCGCCACAAATTTTACCCGTAACAACGTAAAATATAAAATTTCATCTTAATTTATTGCTATTAAACTTGAAACCCTTTTGGTAATACGAATTTTATGAAAAAAATTCAATATCTACGTGGCAACTCGAAGCATTGTCATGAAGGTAGATAAATTTCTGAGCTTTTAATAGATAAATCATATAAAACTAGCTTTTACCTGCGCCTGTGTCCGCGTGACTGATATGATCACTAACTGAAATAAAAATTAGCATATGTCCTTCATCCCATATAGTAGATACGAGTATAATCAAATTTCATAATTATTTATTAAGGCGTTACAAGTATTTAACAAACAACAAACTCATTTTCACATTTATAAATACATACGATATACAGATATAGTTAGTAAGGATTTTACTTATATGAAAAACCTGCTATTGCCAATTTAAATAACGATTCGGCTATATATTAATGTTTTCAATGTTCTATGAGTAGATTATTAGTTAATACAGAGTGCAATAAAGTACTTGATAAATATGAAACAAAGATGAAATATTACCAAATCAGATCTTCCTGCCAAGGCTTTCCCTAGAAACATCAGTATAAGTTTCTTCAAAAAGGACGTATTAAAGTTTCTTAAGGGTCGGAAACGCGCGCGTGTCAGTCGTCCATAGGCTACGGTTACCCCGTTTACCATCAGACAGTCGGTATGCTTAATAGCCACCATAGTTGTATAAGAAGATAGGTAGTCATAGAGAGGATAATAGGTACTATACCTAACTATGAAATAAGCTCAAAAACGCAATCGATACCAGAACCGAAAATTTTAAAAAATTCCGTTTTCTAAAACACAATATTTCACCTACGGGCATAAATTGTCGCGTATTATGTGGCATAACCCATTAGGATGTAACTACTGTATTTAGAAATAATAAATTAAAAAATATATATTGAGCTAATTTAAATTTTTACGATGTTCTTTCATTTCTGACCCAAGCTATTTGTCCGTGTTAAGCAGTAGTGTTTAAATTGTAAAAATTCTATGAATATTTTTTCGAGCATAATTGAAACAATATTGACTTTTGGTGTTGACCGCACCGAAATTATTTATTTCCGCTTTAACAAAAACCTTAATTACATACAACAAATCGCTACAATCTATTCCTATAAACCTTCATTCCCGAGACACCAATCCGTACATTTCCTACTTTTTCCAGCGGTTGAATTGATTGAGCAGAAAAAATTCAATTAGAGGGGACGATCTCACACGTCGGATAAATCAGGATCATCTACTTACCTTCCCAATTTCACGTGTGTGAATATCTTTAATGGGATTACGATTGTAGAATACTCTCTTTAGATGCCTAGAGACATGGTACTTACAATATGAAAATAGTTACATGCATGTTCAATTTTCTAAATCTCAGTTAATCTTTGATTCAATAAAGACTGACGATCTCTGTGCTGCAGTAGTAAACACTTTGCTTTACGCAAATGAGTTTCCGGGTTCGATTCCTGGTCGGACCAATTTAGAAAATGAACTTTTCTGAATTGACTCTAGTCTGAGTGTTCAGAGTTGTGCCTTCAAATATACCCGATTACATAATAATAACACAAGGTATCCTATATTCGGACAATTAGTGTGATTGTATAGCACTTATTATATATTAGTAATTTTATAAGTAGGCATCTAATTTACATTTTTTTTTAATGGATGATAATAAAATGGTAACACCGCCTGCGCCAATAGTATACACTGGCAGGGCACCAGTGAGCGATGATAAAGCAAGTCACTTAGCCCATCGTGACGAATTCAACGATAAATTTCTGACGATGGTTTCCAGGATAAACCGCGTGGAGGTCGATCTGATCGGGTATATTGATAACAATGGGGACTAACTTCTCCTTTATTAACAACCCCTTCCTCCAATTTACGTAATTAGACTCATAAAGACAAGTAAAGGTGCGTCTAATTATTTACTGTAATATTACCACCATTTCTCTATTAATTGCATAGATTAAGGTCAATACCTGCGGATTATTTATTCTTCATTAAATTCATATCATCATACTGAATACAATTAAATATCTTAAATAAAACCAATATTTACTTTACAAATAATAAAAGTAAAAATTCCATATTTACTTTAGAACTTACATTTATACAATAACTAGTTTACGCGCGACTTCGTTCGAGTGAATGGGACATGTTTAATGAACTCTATAAAAAGGAATAAAAAGGAATGAAAAGGATCCTTCTCCATCCCAAATAATATGTGCATATCAAATTTCATGGATGGATTGGTAAGACTGTTTAGATGGCTAGAGGTAAAAAAGAAATAAAGTCACTTTTACATTTAAAATATTAAATATTAGTAAAAATAAAATATTGCTTCATTCAAAGTAAATCTCAGCATTGATATGTGCTCAATAATCATTCTTAATTTTTAAACTTTAGTTAGTATAACACTCCTTTTTTGGCCAATTGTATAATAAAATGTGTGCTGCACTTGAACATGGGTATATTTATCACTTGTATAATCACTATGATTATTTGTACAATCTAGTGTTAAATTTGTTTACAATAAAGTAACATAACAAACATGGCTCCCATATCCTAGCTAATATTATAAATGCAAAAGTGAGTTTCTTTGTTACACATTCACATCTGTCTATCTCTCTGTCTGTATGCTTGTTCCCGCATCACACTAAAACTACTGCATCAAATCGGATGCAGTTTTCACAGTTATCTTCCTTAACGTCTAACTTAAAGTCTAATATATATTTTACCTTGATATACCATCTAGAAATAAGCTTTCCTACTTTTAAAATCCATGCATACAAGGTAGCAGGCAAAAAGCTAGTTAATAATAATTATACTATCAATCAAATCAAAATTTATTATTTTGTTATGCAAACCCTATCTATCCATGTAGTATAAAATTTAAAAAGTAACTTACAATTAAAATAAAACATTAGTCATAGAACAAATAGCATTTATATCTCTCAGTAAAAATTTTGGTATTTAACTAGTTATTTTACATTAAACTATTTAACATTTTATACTAAGATTTCATATTTTACTTTTAAAGTCCCCAAATACTTTTCTACCGTAATCACTATAACTGAATTGGCTTTTCAAATTGTACTGCTAATATATCTGATGTCCTTATTAGCGCTGATGGCATTTTAATACTGGCTGGTGTCTGCATATTGTGAACAAGAATGTCAGAACCATCTGGTTTCCAAGCTGAGAAAGTTGCATGGAGAGTTGATTGCTCATATGTTAGAATTTTGCATGATGCACCTAAAAACAGAATACATTTAATTATTATAATAATAAACATTACAAATAAATACTCTATCATTCATTCATTGTCATTCACCAAACTTTTTGACAGGAAATTTTTCACTGGATATTTACATATTTTAAATACTTAAGTCCTACATTTATTACATACTAGTATTTGATAAAAAAAAAGGAACAGCTCCATCTGTGTTATAAATTACTTACTAGCTTTTACCTGCATCTTCATTTGCATGACTGCAATATGTTGTTTGAGTGGGATTAAAAGTAACCTAAATATCCTTCTCCGTCCTACATAGTATGTATATACTAAATTTCTAAAATTATTAGTAAAGCCCTTAAAGAGCTAATAGGTAACAAGCACACACTTTCACATTTATAATATTAGTAATGATATGGGAGCCATGCTTGTTATGTTACTTTATTGCAAACAAATTTAACACTAGATTGTACAAATAATCATAGTGATTATACAAGTGATAAATATACCCATATTCAAGTGCAGCACACATTTTATTATACAATTGCCCAAAATATAGTGTTATACTAACTTTTATACCTTTAAATTACATAGTTTATAAGAGAGGGGAATTAAATAGATATTTAAGTAAATGACCACAGCTGGTGCAAGCTTGTCGAAATATTTAGATAACTCAGGTAAATTATCTTAATTTACCTAAATGACCACATTAATTATTGTCTTTTATAAATCACACAGGAGTGTAATGTGTCTAGGGTTCATGTGAGTTTATTCCACTATAATTTCTAAATTTTGGAACAGATTTGTATGTATTAGAGTATTAATATATTAAATCCTTTTATTATCCCGAGTAAAACTATAACTTTTTTAAATAGCTTGTTTTTTTTTAACACTCTTTTCTTTCATATCAACAATAATGCGCATGTTTAAAAACTAATTCTAGAATTGCTTAATTTAGAAATATATTTTTTTTTACTTTAAAAGTTAAATTTATCTATCTTAACTCATTTAGTATGGTTAAGACTAAAGAGCTTCCGATGAGTACAAACGCCTGTTAACAATAGCTACATTTGCATTTGCTTATTGTATAATTATCAATATATTGTATCACAGAAGCTTTTCCGGCCAAACGGTATGTATGCAACTTACCGGATAACTCATTCATTTCCCTCAGAAATCCTTCCCTCAGTTCAGCTCTCGCTTTTTGTTCTTTTGCTTTTGTTTCATCACCCATGTCAGTTTCAGGTGGCATCTTATATCTAATCTAGCCAGAGTAAGCCTTTATTCAGCTCTAGATAATCGTGAATCGTTAAAATGTTAACAGTAAATTAAACAGTAGACAAGAGTTTACTTTTACGAAAACAAATTTACAAAAATACTTTTCGAATGTAGAGTTACTTATATAACTTAATCTTGAATGTATTTCTTTTATTCGTTTTCTTTTTCTAATCCTTATTTTATTTAAATTTAATTATATATCTATAAACACAAATAAACAAATTTAAATTGCCCGATATCCTGAAAACAATATCTGTCACTGTCACATTGACATTACATATGTCAAATATCAAAACGTCTTATATATAATGAAAAACATAGATTAAGGATACAATATACGTAAAGACCATATAAATAGCTCTCCTTACAGTAGTGCTAAATTTATAAAGTATAATACGTTATACTAAGGATATGAGTATTACTAACACGTCTAAATTCCTTAGAGAAACCCTATAAAATAAGGCATATATCATATAATATGAACTATATACATTTATTCAAGGCATAGAGCATGTTTCATGATCATCATCATTCTAATCATTAACCATCCACTGCTGGACATAACCCTAGACTGCCATAAAGAACGGTCCTGTCCACCTGCATCCACTCACTCCCTGCAATGCATTTCAGAACAAGTGCAATATCGAAGCGTGGGGGGAAGGGATTAGTAATGGGGAAGTTAGTCCCTATTGCTATCAATATAACCTATTGGGTCGACCTCCACGCGGTTTCCCCTGGAAACTATCGTGACTAATTTTTGCGTTAGGATTTTCCGTTCCGTTATAATTTAATTTTCATGATGGGCTAACTGACTTGTCTTTTCATCCTCACCAATCAACCCTCACTGGTGCCCCGCCAGTGTATACCAATAGCACGTGCGGGGTTACTATTTCATTATCCATTAAAAAAATACCGAAGTGTGGAGGAGAAAGGGATTGTAAGTAATGCGGACTACCAGTCCCATTACTGGCAATATACTCTGTCAGGTCGACCTCCACGTGGTTCCTCTTGGAAACCATTGTGCTGAATTCCAGGTATATTCATCATTATGGGCTAACTGACCTGCCTTTCCATTCTCACCTGTCATCCCTCACTGGTGCCCCGCCCGCGTATACCGTTAGAGCAGACGTGGTTACCATTCTATTATCATGCATTAAAAAAAAATACCGAAGTGTGAGGGGAAAGGGATTATTAGCAATGGAGTTTAATTGCAGCTCCATTGCTAGCAATATATCCTATCAGGTCGATCTCCACATCGTTCTTCCTGGAAACCAACGTGGATTATTTCTAATGAAAATGACACGATGGGCTAACTGACTTGATTTCATTGTCACCTATCGTCACTTAGTTACTACTATGCCAGCATATACCCATGGCACAGGTGGAGTTAATAAGACACCATATTATTTTTTCTCAAAACTGTTCTGAGTACAGACGTCGTTCAATTACAATTTTCAATCGACTTAAAAAAAGAGATTCTCAATTTGTATTTTCGTTTATTGCATCAGAACTCCATCATTTATAAAACGATTTGAAAAAATATTTTATATCTGAAAGGATATATGGACTTTCAGATCGGTCCACAAGAAATTTTAACAAGAATCAAAGTCGGCATTTCTTTTTTGTGAAACAGAATGTATTTATTATATTAGTAGCTGTATGTGCTAAGTTAGGATATAACCTACTCGTACCCGTAACAAATTTCATTAAAATCCTTTCAGTAGTTTTTGTGTGAAAGAGTAACAAACCTACATACATAATTACAAACTCTCACATTTATAATATTAATAGGATATGTGTATAGATAGGGACTTTTGTTATACAACTTACTATCTAAAACTATCGACCCCGTGAGATACCCCGAACAATAGCTGCTAGTTACATGGCAAATTTGACATGGCCTCTGTGACTGATCTCAAGGGTATAAACCTTTGAGAATAGTCATCACATGCTATCCAACTTTTACTATTCACATCCTATAATCAATTAATCCACCTGTGTTCATGTACTCATAACAGTAATACTTGTATTAATAACTAGTTTTTACACCCAACTCTGTCTGCCTTTATTTTTATACCACTAAGATGGTAAACAAGCATATGGCCCACCTGATGATAAGTGGTTACCGTAGCCTATGAGCACCTGCAATACCAGAGGTATTAAACGTGCGTTGCCGACCCTGAAAAAACCTCTTTACCCACCTTTTGAAGAACTCCATGCTGTAGTCTCTTGGGAAAACCTCAGCAGGGAGCTCATTCCACAACCTGAGTGTTCGTGGAAGGAAACATCTCTGAAACCGCGCAGTACGCGACCATTGAGGCTGTAGGATATGAGGATGAACTCTCAGTCGATGGCGAGCCGTACGATAGTAGAAAGTGGCTGTGGGCATCATATTGAACAATTCCTCTGAGCACAATTCATTGTACAGGCGGTAGAACACGCAGTGAGGCAAAAATCTCTCCTAAGACTTAAGGGTTCGATACCGCTTGTGAGCCTGGACATCGACAATTCTCATAGCTTGTCGTTGCAACGAGTCGAAAGGTTCAAGCTGGTATTTAGGTGCTCCGGCCCATAAGTGACAGCAATACACCATGTGGGGCCGGATTTGCGATTTGTTGAGCATTAATCGCTGATCCGGCGTGAAGTAATGCTTCGCTGTATTACGTTACCGGAGTATATTCATTGACCGGAATATAAAGTCGCCGAAATAAAAATTCTTTTTATTAAAAAAATAATTAAAAGATATGGCAGTGAATTTACAGGGTACAGAGGAATAACACCTGGGTCCTCAGGAATGGTAATGCATGGGAGGTATCATTAGCGAAACAGTATACACTGTTATGTCCATAGTACTGCTCATATCTATAGGCGACGGTTAACACTTTCACATCAGGTGGGCCGTTAGCTTATTTGCCATTCTAAGTTGCATAAAAAAAGTATACCAAAATGTACAGCGTAAAGACGTCAAGAAGAAACAAATAAATAAACTCACTTTCACATTTATAACATTAGTATTGTAGTATAGTTAACCCAAAAGGTTAGGGGGGAGAGATTGCAATGGAATATTGCTTGTTATGTAGGGTACATTAGGACGACCTCCACGCGATTCCTCCCGGAAATCATCTTTGTTAATTGTGGAATTCGAGACTATAGGCTAACTGACCTACTGCCATCCTCACTAATTGTCACTCAGTGGTGTACCGCCAGCATATACAGACGGATTTACCATTCCATTATCACTCATTAAAAAAAGACAGATAAGATCCATCTGTAAAAACCTGTTTTTAAACAATTATTAATAATATGGATTAAGGTCCCCACTGTTAACAATATAATATCAGGTCGACCTCCACACAACCCATCTTGAAAACCATTGTAGTAATTAATAACACATGACAAATTCTTTGTGATGCGGGCTAACTGACCTAACTGAGAGGATTGCTAATAGAGACTAAGGGTCCCCTTGCTAGCAATATACCCAACCAGGTCGACCTCCACGTGGTCTCCCCTGGATACCATCGTACTGAATTCCAAGTATATTCATCACGGTGGGCTAACTGACTTGTCTTTTCATCCTCACCTATCATCACTCACTGGTGCCCTACCAGTGTATACCGATGGCGCGGGCAGGGTCACCATTCCATCCATCACCCATTAAACAAAAACTGAACTAACTTCATCCTCTTCTATCATCTCTCGTTGGCTGTTGTATACTATTGTAAAGGAAGATGCACCATTTTTATTTTTACAACCTTTTAAACTATTAACATATAATAAAATTACCAAATAGAAGTAACCCAATTTATGTGGTAGGTACCCGAAATATTGAGAATCGAATCGAGCTCAAGCTTATCGAATTTCGGCTCAATTGAACAATGCGCCGAATAAGAAACGACAAAAGTAAATAAGGAAAACCTTTATCGCAGGAACAAACAGCGGTCCAAAGTTCCACGCACGTTCCCGCAATGTGTTTTTTCGTGTTTATTCGTTGTTTTTGCCGGCTCAAAGGGCTTTCGTTGTACACTAGAATGTGACAAATGAAGTACATTCCGTGAAAACAAAGGTATCAAGGTGACACAAATGTGTAATATAAGAAATGCCTTCGAATGTCATTTTCTTTGCCGGATGAGTCTTCTCAGTTTTGTTATCACATTGTAACACCATGAGGGATCAGACTTAATTATTTCTCAACTATATATTGTGAAACCTTTTACTGCTAATTAATTTGTTTAACTTTTTTGTATATTAATAAATATCAATAAAAATCTCTGCCCAAACCTTGTCTGGAACAAATTGCATTAGCGCTAAGTTCGCCTTTTGTACTTTATTACTATAATACTTTATACGTACTTATTAAATATTAACTAAAATATATAAATGAAAATTAATAAAATTAAATGTAACTGAAACTAAATATAATTTTAAAAGTTAAGTTTTTTTTAACTATGTCGATATACATCGTCATAGTCGTACAATACTGACGGATCTATATATTTAATATTTGTCAGATCCGTCAGTATTCTACGACTATGACGATACGTATCTATATGTCTCGCAGTGTAAGGCGAGATGCTGTAGCGCAAAGCACCGTACACCCCCCTGAAGACTTCCGGATGAAGTCGAAACAATCGTCGGAAACGACTAACATGGAAAGTTCATAACATTTGCCGTTAACACATATATAGACAGTGATACCAAATATATTCTTATTTTTTTATTTTTCCACACCTATCCAGAGATTTTCACATATCCATCTAATTAATAATTTTGTAATTATTCATTGTAGTATAAACATGTACCCAATCTGCGGAATCACAGACAATATTTTACATATTGAGGGTGCCTGTACTCCATATGCCTAGCTATAACCACACCACACCTCTTACTTTTTCTACTTTCATACTTGTCTTCGACTATACTTCTCTATCTCAGCCATTCTTAGTTAGGTCTCATAAATGAAACGAGATTATTAATAATTATTTTTATTTTTCGAAAATACTCCCTATGAGTTCACACTTTCAATGAATACGTGACAAAATAAATCACATTAACATTGTAATTAAATTAAATAAAAATAATTTGATAAATACCTGAATGTCTCCACAGTGGGATCTGGTATACAATAAGTGACCTCCCTAGGGATCAAAGACTTAAGAGGTAGTTTACACATTACAAACATTAATTGTCTAAATGGAAATAAAAAGTCCTAATCGGACTACATGCATTCTTAATAACGTATAATATTGGAATCAATATCTAACATTGATATTATCTTATAGACATATGTGACTATTCTATGTCACCTCGAAACCGTGGATGTGGAGTCGCTAGCTTTGCCGTCTTCAGCACCTTAATTTCATAAGTACCTCTATGTCGCAGCGTAGGCCAGTGTTCTTCAACGGATTGGCAACTGAAAAGTCCATCGAGTAAGCTAGTAAGGAGAATTTGTGCTATATAACAGTTTGAATGGACTGCAAACAATGATTCATGTGAATATTCAAACAATAGTTATTAATATTTGCAATTATTTTTTAATATATTTAATATAAATATTAGTATAAGAATTTGAAATATTTTACCCGACTAAAGATTTTTTTATATAAATACGGTGTCTTTAGTCTCAATTGTGTGACTATAGCATAAAAAAAAATAGTAAACATTAACAGTCAAATATTCGTGAAAATGTTATTAATTTTAAAATCCAACAGTCGGATTGTGATAACTTTTCATGGCCGATTGTTAAAGATAAATCATTGCTTGCACCATTCCGGGTTTGCAGGGTATTTGGTTAATTTAGAAAATGACATCAAGTTTCTAATATCGTCATTATTTTGTTATTATTAATTCTGTGAGTATAATTTATGATACGAAATTAATGGAAACTTGATGTCATACATTACAAAGTTTGGTACCTGGAAGTACATGGTAGATGATGTGCTAACAGCATCCGTTATTGTGATATTAGGAGCAAACCGTATGTGCTCCTCTCACATCTCCAAATCATGGCATAGTATGCGATGACAGTGTAACGACAAATAAAACTTCTAAACTATCATTGAATATACAATAACGGTTAAGTCATAATATAAGAATTGTACGAAATCTTGAAACTGCGTTGTCGTAAGAAATATACATTTCATTAGGAAATGAATTTAGGGAGATTGATATATCCTACAATATCTTCGTTTTTATATTTGCAAAGAAAATAATTGAGCTGATTATATTGATTTTGTGCCTGGGATTTAAATTAACAAATACTTCCATAACTCAATGTTTGTGTAGTGACTTCTTGATAGAACTTATAACGATTATAACATTATATATTATTGAAAAACTGTATTTGATGTTGTTGTTGTATACATACGCGACGGCTACGAATTTTTTTTTAACAAGTCTATTAAAAAATAATTAAATAAGCTACTTGGTATATGAGATGAATTCTGTTTACATGTCCTAAACCTATTAGTTATTGTAAGACAAATAATCATTATGTAAATACAAGAAATTGACGCATACTTCTCATTCCAAATTTGGAATTTCATTTGAATAATAGTAGTATGTAATTTTACGAAATATATTCTTATAAAATTATTTGTATAATGAGCGTCGACGTCTTCGCCTACGCGCCTCAGTCAATATATTTTCGTAATGTAATATCTATCTTTCACAAGAATTCTTTGAGGTCTGGGAAAAAATAAAATATATCTTTTATTTCATTTACAGGTAATAAATAATAATTGTACGATGCTCGAATGTACGGACATATAAATAAGATCTCTTTCGTAAATCATGTACACAGTGCACTTTATTTTATAAATAAATCGATTTTGCATAAATAACGTTGTGATGGAAGTAATATACTTTCAATATGATCTCGATATATTTTATTCTATTAATAAATAAATAAGAATGCCTTCAGTTTGTACATTAAATATTTTAAGAACCATAAGTAATATTATAAATGCAAAACCATGTATATTTTTTCTCTCGCGTCAAAGCCCTCGTTCTATTTTTATATACAAAAAAGAATATGTGGAGAACAGTAAGCCACATTTTATCTAAGAATAATAACTTCTTTTTCTGAGACAAACAAAAATTAACGATAAAAGCCAATAAAAAAAAATTACATAGACTACGTTTATTTATCTTAGTTTATATTTATATATATAGTAAATATAGCCAAAGCAGTCACGAATACTAATAAAATATCATATGTAGCAATCATTATTTATATGAAAAACGAGCGCAATAATCATAACTAGTTTTTATCTATTGTCGTTAAATTAATGCAAATTGCAATGGTATGGGACGTGAGTAACTTTCTAACATATTTAAAACGACCTATTTCCTTATCCTTCTATAAAACGAGTTATTTTTTTTTTTCCAAATATTAGAGAATATTACTGGCGACTTATTTTATATGCACAACAAAAACCCAGGCACACATAACTGTTGTTGGTAGTTGCTGTTGTCAAAAGTACACAGATTTGTAAATGCAAGTAACAATAATGTGTGTCCTATAATTTTTTATAGGTAACCTAAGAATACCTGACATCGCTTACACGCGATCGCCACCAGTCGACTGTCAACACGACGACGAATCAAAACAAACATGTGGAAATACCTCGAAACGACGTCGGGGGCTCGTCTGAAGAATTTACTGTGACCAAAGCCACCAATTTTAAAACGCCAGTGTGGCCAACACTGAAGTTATAAAATCTGTATAGCGATCGCCCAATAACCTTCCCATTGTCGGCGCGTGGCAACTATTCAAAATACCAATCAAATACCTGCCAAGTCCGTCGGTGTGACGACAACTACCGAATCGAGAGTGCAATGGGGATCAACTACTCCCCATTATGTTTGCCATATACCGAAGTTTTATTTTGGTATGCTACATTAAGCTGTAAAACAATAGTGTTCACTTTATTACTTGTCAACATGTCAATATTTTTTTGGAATATGCGGTTTTTGGAATAATAAAAAAAAATGTGTTAAAGAAATTGGTGTGGTGAGGTGGGGAGGGACGTTAGATTGGGGAAGGTCGTATTATACTTTCAAGGGCTGATTCGCAATGTACGATATAATCATGTCAACATATACTTACCGGTTTCAGGCGCTTTTGTGATACCTCAGTCAGTTGCTAATGGCGGTCGCGAGATCGCCGACGTGACCGCTCGTGGGAAGATCCTAAAACAATAATACAAATACTCTCAAAGTACAGTTCGGGACACAGGGCCTAATTTAAATTGTAAAGTAGTTTTGTAAATAAATATATCTTTATATAAGTTTAAAGCAGGTAGCTTTATATCTGTCAACATTAAAAAATTCCCTTTGCAAAACAGCAAAAGGAATAGAGGACTTTGAAGGGTCTTAGACATTCTAAAACTCATCTACAGTGGTGGCAGACAACAGGCAAGACTCATTATGGGTAACTGGACATATGCTAATAAGGCATATACTATACAAGGTGGGTCTATCTTCAGACACACTGTGCAGACTGTGCGGGGAGAAATCGGATTCCCTGAAACACTTGATGTGCAACTGCGATTCGTTGGCAAGCATGCGTATGAGTCTACTGGGAACGGCTTATCCAGAGCCAAGGGACTACAGATATCTTAAACCGCGGGATATCGTTAAGGTAACACATAGGATCTAGGAAATGATGGTATAAGGCAGGGGGAAGCACAAAAGATGCCGATGGTTCAACGTGCAACAGCTTAGCTGACCCCACATTTTAATATTGACATCTGTCAATATTAAAAAGGGTAAGCGTACAACAATATATTATATACTAGGTGTTTCCGCGGTTTTGCCCGCATGAATAATTTATTTGTATATTTATTTAATTACACTTTATTTTATCATTTATAAAAATAATAAATCCAGTAAATTTTAATGAGAAGTGACACAAAAGGTGGCCTTAACGCCAAGCAATCTCTTCCAGACAACCTTTAGGTAGATTATCATTATTATTTTATTATATTATATGTTAAGTTAAAATACAACTTATGCATATACTAAATTCAATTTAAATCTGTTTAGCCACTTCAGGATAATTGAGTGAAATGTTTGTTTAATCATCTAACAAATATTCAATATTTTTTACAAACTTCCGTATTTGTAGTACCGATAAGATTGGATTTTAATAATCAACGTCATTTCGGGTGGTACTTTGTAGTATAATATGAGAGAGACAGAGGTCTAAGAATAGACAGTGGATAGATTATAATGATGATGATGATGAATAAATATCACCTGAACCTATTTTATATCATATGAGTAAAACTTGAAAATGATGACGTTGTTTATAGAGATAATTTACAAAATGTAGCAACTTTTTTTATTATATTCATCATCATCATCATCGCATATCAGCCGTTAAATGTCCACTGCTGAATATAGGCCTCCCCCAATTAAGGGGGAATAGTTACTACTTAGCATAAGTTTATTTTTATCTGTGTACCATTCTCCTGATAGAATGAATTACATTTTGCTTATTTGATTAAAATTATTTTGTTTAATTCTGTTACCATTATAATTAATAATTAGAATAAACAAAATCTAATCAAATAACCAGTGATATGGTGTTCTGCAAGATAACACCTAGTTCAATAAAATATTTACTAACTTCTTTCCTTGCGATGTTTGCGGTCGCGATCGCGCTCGCGTTCCTTGTCACGATCGCGCTCCCTGTCGCGGTCGCGATCCTCGTGACGTGAACTCTTCTCTTCGCGACTTGACCTGTTATACAGAAGTTCATATTAGGAATCGCAGCTGCATACACAGGGTGGAAGAAATAGGTTCGCCAAAACGAAAACAGCTGACTTAGATGATCGGAATCAGATGGCAGATTATTTTTCCACGGGAAATGCACCACAAGCATATAATTAACGATTTTTAGTTCTGACGCTGCGCAATGTATTATATATTTGAAATTTTATAATCCATACAACGCGAGATAACTACAGCGCCGTGATCAATAGTGCTTCTTCGTGGTTTTTGTACGTTTGTGGCATTGACCTTACACAGCTAATTTCGCGCGTTGCGGTGGGATTTTAATAACAATATTACATTACTGTTTTTCTTAGGTATTTCATAGTATATATCACAATATATATTTGTATATATTGTATTGTATACACCCTGTGGTGTAAGGGACATACATAGACATATTTTGTTAGCGGTAAAAATGGTAAATTGTTGATTGTGTGTTACATTAAGGTTATTATCTATCTTTGTTCATCTAAATTACGCGATTGCTTTGTGCTCGTACATACCCTTTAAATTAAATCCTAAATAAATATATATATTTTGTGCAATTTAGAATGGCAAACAAGGTGATGACCTATTTATTATTAATAAAATGAATGTTTAAATAACTTTATTTTAATTATTACTTACCGATGACGTTCTCTATCTTTCTCCCGTTCGCTCCTGTCCCCCCGCTCACTACGGTCCCTGCCGCGGTCCCCTCGGTCGTTATCCCTTTCGCGATCTCGCTCCATGCGCTCTCTATCGCGCCTGTCCGATCCAAGGCCGCCGCCGCGAGCGCTACGCTCTCTCTCCCTCTCCTCACGACGTCTCCTCTCCTTCTCTTGTTGTTCTTTCTCACGAGCTTCATTCATCTCCTCGTATGCTTGGCGAAGTTTAAAGTATCTAAAAAAAATTATAAATCTTTAAGTATACATTAAAATATATTGTCATTATTGCCCGTCAAAAATTGTGGTTTCATTGTAAAATGTTAACAAATTCTATCATTGAAATCTTTATTAAAATATTACTGATATCCCACATTGATGGAAAGCAAGTACTTCTATTCCTAAGTTTTGGATTGGCAAAATTGTTATGACGACAATGTAATGTCAATTTAGGAATTTGATCAAAAATATTTACTATTTAATTTCAAAGTTGCCTGTAACATATACGTAGATAAATAAAATACGTATACATAGAGCGCAAATTATATTACTTGTGCCTTTGTATTATATCAATGATTGAGTTTATTTATGTTCAAAAGAGTTTAAAAAGGAAATTTTTAATTGTTTTTAATCTCTATTTTGGAATATTAATAAGCGTGGCGTATAAGCGCCATTTACTGCTAGAAATTTTCGAATGTCAATAAAAAAGTTACATTTTCAAGTTAATATTTTATTATGTTATTGATAGAAAAATATTTAAAATTACATACCCGACATGTTGTTTTCCCGACAAATGATCGTCAATTCTCTGTTGCGCGTCTCCCACAATCAGAAACGCACCGCAGACTGGACACACCTCCATTTGTTTCTCTTGTGCGGCCGCTAACTCAGCAGTCATGGACCAGTGGCTAATAAAAAGATATGTATATTATTCGAAATTCATAATTTGTTATTTAAAAATAATTACCATAATTAAAAATTGTGTCCCACAAAAAAGTTACTTCAATCACGACAAAACCAGTTATTTGATATAAAACTAAACTACTGAACCGATTTTGATAAAATTTCTATGGGACAAAATCTTTAGATAAAAAAAAGTTTTCGAAATCGGTTTAGAACTAAGGTAACAAACAAAAAAATTACAACCAAATTGAGAACCTCTTTCTTTTATTTCGTAAGTATACATTATATTTTAATGTAATAACTTCATTTAACTTATGTGTAATTTGGTTAAGGAAACTCAACTAGTTTCGGGACCATTCAGAACCATTAGTCTTGAGCGGCTGAACGCAAACCCGAGCTTGATCTCATAGCTCCTTAGTTTATAAACTGATTTGAAAAAATATTTTTTTATCTGAAAGAATGGAGAATGGTCCCAGAGATATTTCAATATAATCAGTTCAGTAGTTTTAGTTCTTAAATAAAAATAACTGGTTTTACCAGGATTTAAGTCAGTTTTTTTTTTTTATGAAACACAATAGTCCACAGGAATAGCAATGCATGGGACTATCATGGGCGAAACTGCTCATGTCTATAGGCGACAGTTACCACTTTCCATCAAATGGGCCGATGGCTTGTTTGCCATTCAAAGCTGCATAAAAAAATCTTAAATTACGTGTTCCTGGGACACACACAAAACAATCTGTGTTACTTTCATATTTTATATGCTAAAAACTACATTATTACCTATTTTCCTGTTGCTTGAGAAGCTGTTCTTTTTCCTCTTTGAGTCTATCGCACAGTTTCATTAATCCCTGGGCTTGTTCGACATCGCCGCGCGTACCAGCTTCCTCTGCCTCTTGCATAAGGGCTGCAATCTTATCCGAGAGCAATGAAACCTGTCACAAAAGATGGGAAAGTGACTATTAGTAATGAGGTCTAACTGCTTTATTGTTAGCAAGATATGATATTGGGTCGATCTCCACGTGATTCCTCCTGAAAACCGTCGTGGTTAATTATTTTAGAATTTATCATGATGGGCAAATTGACCTACACACATCCGATCGTCCCTTACTGGTGCCCTGCCAGAGTATACAGACAGCGCAGATAGGTAACTTCATCTGTCCATTTTTACTAATTAAAAAAAAATCTCAAAAAAAAATTACAATTACAGTTAAAACCCATCAGTATACTTCGTTCATATCCAATAACACACTTATTAAAAACAGTTATTGTAGTTTAACACCAGTCCCGGTATATATATATATATATATTAGTTGCCACACTTGGCAGGATGGTTGATAACCACAATTAGGCTTTTGGTGATGTTTAAGAGGGACTCTGCTGCCCATCCCTCAATCTTATATACACACCACACATATATATGAGTACAAGTATTTAATAGAAGTAATCTATTCAAAACATGAACAGACTAAATAAAATAAAAAAAAAATACATGACATGATAAGTGAATTGATACCATTATAATAATTATATTAAAAAACATAATGTAACTAATACCTGTTCCTGATTTTTTTCTGTCTGTGCCTGTGTCATTGGTGGACCTTCAGGTTTAGAATTCATTAACTCCAACCTTTGCTTGCCTTTTTGTATTTTTCCTATAAAATTAAAAAATAATTATATTATCTTTATTTCTTCATTCTGATCCATTAAATACTACTATTAGGTCTGAATTTTTCTTTCTATTAGTGAATCTATAATAATAAAGTAAATCTAAAAGAATATATACCAACATCAATTTATACTTATTAGAATCAATAATATAATGAAATAGTAATTTTTATATGATTTTCATGAAAGAATATACATTGAAGTAATTATTTATCTTTTGGAGTAAACAATAAAGAGTATCTGTCTTGAAATCATGTATTTTTATTTTAGGGATTAGTAAATATTAAACATTTCAAATGGAGACCAAACATAAAGCTTGATAACTCAAATGAGTTGAGTCTTATAAAAAAAGTTAGAAAATGCTGAGTTAGATAGTCATTTTTTCGATTCTGATATTTGTTAAAATTTATTTAAATACTCACTCTCAACCTCATTGATCATGTGCCTGCAGAATCGTAAGAATTCTTCTACATACTGAGCTTTTTTGTAGGACATCTCTGTCTTCTCAAATAAATTTTTAACTTCATCATCATGTACTTTAGGGCACACACCAAGATCAGCTTTGGTATTCACAAATAAATCATGAGGGCAGAATTTGACCATGTAGTATTTGCAGTACTAAAATGATAAAAAATTATATATTTGTTAATTTGACACATTACAGCACCAATTAAAACCATTAATTATTATGTTATAAACATTAATACAATATCTAGGAGCTGACTATAACAAGCTTAAACAATGGTAAAGATTTATAACATATGCCAGATATTTGTATCCATATTTATATCTGCAGATATCTGAGAGAAGAAAAGATCTGAAATTGTATCCTTTACCTTTTGGCAGATGTTTTACCTTACTGGTGATTTTACCTTAATAATAATTATAATTCTAATTATAGGTAGTCATTTATTGTCTTAAAATATCCCCACAATTCCTAATAATATATTGATCACCACACTGTCCCCTCTACAATAAAGTAATAAAATAAACCGAATACTAGATACATCGTGGTGAGTTGATAATGAATTTGTAATGACAGATCAGACATGCTTTCTTCTTCATCGACCACACCTCACTGGTTCAGTTCAGTTACTCCTGGAAACCATCATGGTTAATTCTAATGGAATTCTTCACAATGGACTAACTGACCTGCTTTTATCATCACTTATCATCCTTTACTGGTGCCCTACCAGCGTATACCAATAGCACCTGCGCTACTGGGATTTTTTGATGGGTGAAAATGGTATGGCAACCCCGCCTGCGCTAATAAGATATGCTGGCGAAGCAACAGTGAAGGATGACAAATGAGAATTAAAACAGGTCAGTTAGCCCATCATGATGAATTCATCAGGAATTAACCCTGATAGTTTCCAGGGAGAACCATGAGGAGGTCGACCTGGTTGAGTATATTGCTAGCAATGGTATTCTCAGTCTCCATTACTAACAATCCCTTTCCCCCTGCGCTATTAGGGTTACCATTCTATTATCATCCATAAAAAAATAACCTACTCATAAACATATTACTTGTATAGTATTCCAAATGCTCAATTTGGTTGAAAATAAAAATAGTTCCAGACTTCATTTTTGAGCAGCAAATAATAAAATTTTTGCTGTAATAATAAAATCGCTGGTCTACTTATGTTACTATTATATCCATAGCAACATGTTTATAGAATTTCATTTAAGTTGAAAATCAATCACTACAAAATCGTAATCTATTTAAACATGAACTCCTAAATCTCTTTCCTGTACACATAAACACGTTTGTAAAATATGATAGGTTATATATATTTATCCATATAGCAAATATTAAGCAAGATCATGGCACTTACTTCTGGATCCTCCCAATTTGGCTTCTTAACTTTATCGTTTGGATTTGTATTGCGATGTCGACCCATCAATTCATCTAACAATTGAGCAGCAGCAAGAACTGCCATTTTTTTACCCTAATGATAACCTGGTTCACCTTATTAATATTCACAGTCTTAGAAATGGTTACACAACGACGATTCTACAATCTTTTTTCTTTATAACATACGTATAGTAAATTTTACCGATAATTTAAATTAGGTATTTTGACCAATCTATAAGAAAACGAAAAGCGAGCAAAAAATAGGAATGAATAGTAAAAGTACACCACAGATTAGAGAAATTATGGAAACAATTAGAAGACAACCTAAGAGACAACAACGCTTTTTTTTTAAGATCGTTTTACGACTTTGGATGATTAGTCATATGTGATGATGATTACCACAGATATATAATAATGAATTAAACAAAAAGTTGAAAGTATGAGTAGATATTATATACCATTTGCCACGCTGTCACATTTAGTCAAGTTAAAGTTATGAACGTTCTTAAAAAATTTGCTTATTAATGTTATCATTTACTCTAACTTCGTCGCTGTTGCGCTTGCGTTTTAGTCCCTCATGCTAACTTTGCTCTTTTATTATATTTGTAATAAATACATATTAATACAACGCTGTGGATATTCATTTATTCTTTTTTTAATATTTTTAATCCTGTTGTTATTTTAAAAAAGTAATTCTAATTTTTATAAAGTAGTAATTACTGGCTCTATGGTCGTATTTTATTAGACATAGTCTCTAATCTGTGGTTGTATTATATTTGAAGGTTTTTTTAACAAATTCATGGATTTTTTTTTAATTAATATCAAATAAAATAGGAAAGAATAAATTATTCTTTAGTTAGATAAACAATCTCAATTTCCATGTGTTTTTGTTATATATTCTATGACTTTTAGAAATGGGTGCATTATTCGGGAAACAGAAAAAAACCGTGAGCCGAGTAACTGAACAAGATAAAGCTATATTACAATTAAAACAACAAAGAGACAAATTAAAACAATATCAAAAGCGAATAGAATTGAATTTTGAGAAAGATATACAGTTAGTTAAGAAATTGCTTAGCGAAGGCAAAAGAGATAAAGCCAAATTCGCCTTAAGGAAAAAGAAATATCAAGAACAATTGCTACAGAACACAGAGGCGCAGTTGGAAAAATTAGAACAACTTACTCATGATATTGAGTTTGCACAAATCGAATTACAGGTACAGCTTGGTTTCTATTTTTTATTTTGATGTTGTTCATTTATTTTCATGTTGAACCTGAAACCTGCCAAATTACTGTTTCAATACCAATTGTTAGATTTTCAAATTGTTGACATCAATAAACCTGTTATTTAAATCTTAGACATTGTCAGGCAATCTACAATGTTTAAACCTGAAAGATTGATTTATATGAATCATGCATCATCATTATAAACAATCATATAATAATCCACTATTACTGTAGTTCAATAATATTTATGATTCATATAATGTTATTTTGTTTTCAAAGTCTGTTTATGAAGAATGCTTGGGCAAATTATAAAAAAAAAAACTTCATTCACATTAAACAATGTTGTTTTTTTGTTAAATAAAATGTTTTAACTTTTTTGTGATGATATCTACATTACAGGTGCTTGATGGCTTGAAAACTGGTAATGCAGCATTGAAGAAGGTTCATGATGTGTTAAGTATAGATGAAATAGAAAAAATAATGGATGAAACAAGAGAGGGTATAGAAAAGCAAAGAGAGATAGATGAACTTATATCTGGTGAACTAACACAAGAAGATGAAGAGGCTGTGGAAGCTGAGCTTGAAGCAATTCTTGATGTTGGTGATCAATTGCCTGATGTGCCTACAGATAAGCTGCCAGAAACTGAAGAAAAAGTTGCAGAAAAACCCCGGAAAGCCAAAGAGAGCCCTAGCAAAATAGCTATGGAGGCTTAATTTATTATAAATATATATTTCATAATTGTACAGATTTATAATATAAGTATAATATTTTTAGATCAAAATTTTATTTTTACCTTCCATGCATCTAATTGTATTAAAACAATAGGGCACATACATGCACACAAAAGTCCTGTGTTCTACCAGTCTGCACAGCTGCATATTATTATTTATTACAAATTTGTGTTATGCTGTATGAAAATTGCAGTGTCTTTGTACATGTTGATAACATGAATAGAAAACAAGAAGTAATATAATTTTGTTACAATGACAATTGATTTTTCTGCATTTTTAGTAAATTACCATGGTCCATAAACTTGATTTATAGACCAAAAAAGTTAATCTTTTGTTAGTATTTGTCCAAGCCCAAAAACTACATCAATTTAATTGCTAATTCTCGTGTGTTTTCTAATTACTAGAAAACATGAGAAAAGGAGACTGTTCAAAAGTTGTTTACTTGGGCTCTTTTGTCCCATTCATGTTTCTACCTTGAAGCAGTTATTTTTCATGGCTGTGTTTCAATTTGAAAGGTGTGATATGGCAGTGAAATTACAGGGTACAGAGGAATAACACCTGAATTCTCAGGAATGACAATACATGGGGAGTATCGTGGGCAAAACAGTATACTCTGTTATGTCCATGGTACTGCTCATGTCTATAGGCAACGGTTACCTTTTTCCATCAGATGGTCTGTCAGCCTGTTTGTTATTCTAATTTGCAGAAAAAAAAAATTTGAGATTAACAAAATTAGTTGAGCAATATACTGGATCCGTTTACATTTTAGACCTTTTCTATTTTACTGAACTATATATTACTTTGTGAAATTCCAAATGTTAGATTATTGAATCAGAATTATTTTCTTGTAACGATTCATTACAAGACAATAATCACCCTAATCCTCAACTATAAAGGTATAAATATGACAACACAGCCAAAAATGAGTTATTTGTAATTCGGGTGCCTTTTGAATGATTAATAGTAGGTTCGACAGCGATCTATTAAAATGCCTGAAAATGGCTCATTTAGAGGTGATACACGTCGCAAAATGACATGGACGAAATGGTAGTCGGAAATTGATGACTAATATGGAAGGTTGTGTTGACAGACGTTTACATACTAATGGTAGCAGAATTAAATCAAATCAAATAACCAGTTAGAAGGGGAAACCATCATCCTTAATTCCAAATGAATTCATAACTATGCGGTAATAGACATGTTTTTTATCATAACCATGATAGGTTAGTGTTGTTATGCTCTGTCGGCGTAGGTGGATTTACCAATCCATTACTAAAAACAATGTGAGCATGTCAAATTTTGTTTACCACAAAGATTGTAGTGGAAGCCAGAGGCACTACCCTATTGAGAAATACAATCAAGAAAATATTTTTTATATTTTATTAGAGGATTTTGGCAAATATATTCATTCTATATTTTTCATGAATGTCGATAATTACACTTTATACTTCATTTATTATAACCAGACACTAAAAAAATGGTGGTAATAGAAATGAAAAAAAAAAACTACTTTCTTTAAAATTTTTAATCTCATCCATATCAAATTACTGAACATAAATTAATTTTTAGTATAGACTATTGTTTCTAAGTTTATGATTACTATAAAATATAAATTAGCGTGGCACCATTGAAGATAAGATATCATTTGGCTGTGATAAAAATTATCTCCATGATTTTCTGCACCTATAAAAAAGAAATTACTAAAACCGGACGATTTTTAATCGTTTTATCCCATCTCAGTTTAACAATATTTATACCACAATCCAGCCATTATTAACATAAATGATATAATTTTATTACACTTAATTACGCTACAGGATAAACTAATAGGTTATAATAGACTATGTACAAATAGATACAAGCTAATTGATAGTTTTACAAGCTGTTACAGTAAACAAAAGTGATTATAACACCACTTCGTGTACTGACTGGCGATTATGCCATGCTATCATCGATCTACTACAATATGGGATAAGATCTCCATTCATAAAAGAGTCAGGTAAAATTAAGTTATGCACTACTAGCTCATTCTCAACATACATTTTAAGGATATTTTCTGACATTTTGTTTATTGTCATCCCCTTTGTAGTCAAACGATGTAAGCTAAGCAACACAGCCTTCCATTTTACTTCTATACATTTTTTCATAAAAAACATTACATTTATTGATTTTATCACACTTGTACTATACATACATGGCAAAGAATAGTTATTACCTAAGCTGGACCATACCATAGTATTATTAGGGTATTTTTATCTGTTTTACTCTAAATATACAATTGGTTTGATCATATGAATTTTGTTAATTCCTTGGGAAATTGCAAGAGAATTTATTTTAATCACCTCTCGCGCCTATGGTCCCTTTTTAAGATTAAGTAAATAAAAATATGATTTAATATTTCCACCTAAGCCTTAATATCGCATAAAATATGTTGATACTTTTGTATACCCAAAATAATTAAAAACCAAGATAAAGGAACTTTGACCATAAATAAGGATATAGTTCCACTGCAAATTACAATAAAATAATAAATATTTTTCTCGGTTACTACACCAATTTTTTTTCAGGAATGTTTTATATGTAGCATGATTTGTCATTATAAGCAAATCTGTAAAAAATATCTAAAATAAAACCTAAAATCAATTTACTGGTGTGTACATAGTGAAAAATTAAGTGTTAATCTGGTAACCGTAATTAAACTATAAATGTGTGGATATTAACAGTAAAACTAATGAATTATGGATATTACTTATTGATTGGTAATTAAACTGAATCAAACACCTTTACTGTCTATATTTGATGCTTTATATTCATAAATATCAAGTAAATCACAAAAGCAACAATCACCTTTTTACATACTATTTATCAGTTTTATTTACATTATACTATTTATTACATAAAAAGCAGTTCAGCGATAAAACGAGGAAGATTTGAATTTCTTAGTTTGTATTACAATTAACGAATATAGCGTATTGGTGACAGTACATAACCATTTATCATTAATAAACAAAATCATATTGCTCTGAGAAAAAAAAATAGTTATAACTATCTTGCTAAGGACATATTCGAATTCCGACTAAAAATTAAGTGTATATATTTACAAATAAGTTACATCCCAGACCTATTCAATCTCGACTCAAAATGTATCGAGTGAATTGGATTTTATACAATAGAAATAAGTGGTACCTTAATCCATGTCCAAATTTGGGTAATTTGTAATGTAATGTCATACAAAGATTGTGAATGAGTACAACAAGCAGTGTTCACGTAAAAACCGACATTATGAGTTCGCATTACGATGTAATATCTACACGTAGTAATCTCATTATATTACACATATCTGGCTATAGCGTTTTTTTCTAGCTCCGCTTTGAGTTAGGTATAGTTTTCTCGTCTTACATAAATATCCACTAAGATAGGAAAATATATATGATATTCCCATGGAAATGTAGATAATTAATATCTTTTTCTTTTATTAGGAAGCGATCTTGGTATGTCTTTTTTTTAAATTAGTCATTCAAAAATAAGAACTTTAAAGTTAGATAATACATAATCGATTAACACAAAATCATTTTTATTTTGGCTATATGTATGTTTTATGTGCTGTTATTTCAATAAAAAGACATGCCAAAAGTGTTAACTAAACGTACCACATATAAAATATAAACACTTTAAATAAAGTCTTATTAAAATAAACAAGAACCTGTCACGTACAAGTCAGACTATATTTTTTATAGAAGAATATTTTTTGTAATGTAACCACAAATTTGCGGATTACGGATTTTTTTCCCTTACTTGTGTTATAAAATATTGATTCCTGGCAAATCCCTTGATGGGTCTTAGTAGATAAACAGACAGAAAATAAAGTGATCTTATAAAGAATTCTTTTTATCTTTTATATACGGAATCAAAAAAATTTTTTTTTCAACCGATTGCCAAAATCATGAGATTCATAATTCGGGCATCTTTTGTATTTCACTTTTGATGATTCTTTTTGAAATTAATGGGTTTTATTTGGGTGTTTGCCATTTTGTTCACAGGAGTCTTGTTTTTAGACTGAAAATACACTTGCGTATTCATGTTATCTATGATTGATAAAAATTTCAGTTGTTTAGCTGTTACCAATTGGACTGTACATTGTTTGAATCAACTAGAGAAAAGTTGAATATTGAAAGTTCACTGTTTCAATCCATAAAAAATCTAATTAGTAGTAAACTGTAAAATGCAAAAAAAAAAAAAAAAACTGTAAATGTAAAATTTTAAAGTCATATGCGATCATAATTAAGATCGTGTTTTATAAAAATAAAACAACTTCAGTTGTACAAAAACCAGTTATTTTGATTTAAAAACTAAACCACTGAGCCCATTTCGATAAAATTTCTGTGTGACCAATCTGAAAGTATATTGTTTAGATAAAAAAAAACACAATTTTCCAAATAGATTTATAAATCACAGAGTTATGAGGCAACAAACATGAAAAAAAAAAACTGTGAAGCTCCTACTTTTAGAAGTCGGTTAAAAATAAAAATAGCACCGGCTATTAATTATTAGTGATTTGTCTCTTTCAAATTAAGATTTAACCACAAAACATTAAATAACTAAAATCAGATGTTATGAAAAAAAGAATTAAATTATTAGAATTAGAGAAGATGTTATGTGTTATGAAAAAAGAGATAAAATGAAACATGAAATACATTATGTAGGGTGGAAACACGTTCTCATGTCGATTATCGTGTACTCGATTGTTCCTCACAGTATACAGTGGCAGGATAGGGGCGTAGGCGACGGGGCGTGGTAGTCACACTCGTCGCGGCTACGCGTGTCGTGTGTCGATCGTCGCGGCTCACAGTAGCTGGTGGCAGGCTTGCGGCGCAGTCGACATGGCGTGGTGCTAGTAGTTCACAGTGACGGGGTGGTGTATAGCGGCGCCGGCGTGGTGTGTGGCGGCGGCGGGATGCGCGAACGTACCGCTAGCAGCCACATTCGCCACGCCCGACACGCTCGCCACGCCTGTCACACCCGCTACATCGGAACCGCTCGTCGCGACGCCCGCGCGAACTTGCTGTTTTAGATATATGGCAATAATTAACAGAAGCCAAAATACATTTATATGTGCATAATTATTGAGTTTAAAAAATTATTATGAAAATGTTCTACTGAACTAAGTGCTATCTTGCAGAAGTCCATATCACTGGTTATTTGATTAGAATTATTTTGTTAAATTCCGCTACCATTAGTGTATGACTGTTAATACTCAAAGATTGATCACTACTATTACTATCAGAAATTGCACAAACTTCCATATTAACCATCAATCTCCGACAGCCATTTTGTCGCCGCATATTTTGCGAGACGTTTCACTTCTAAATGAGGATTCTTTTGGAATAGTTTCGTCAAAATTACTGTTTTATGGGCCATCATAAACTCGATTTATAATAATTTTGATTTAAATCTCTTAAAATGTAGTTTATATTTAGAATCCTTAGAATAAAAATTTAACATCAAATGGAAATTTTAATATTAGGGATAAGTTTAGAGAAATAACGCGTCAGAATCGACTTTATTGTCTCGCCCTTTTTTAGTGGGATGAAAGTGACATTGTCTTGCTATGAGTGATTGCGACGATTTGGTATGAGTGATTATCGCTGTGTTACCATGTATATCGTGGAGAAAGTGAGTGCTATTTCTAGATCTTACAATGTGGTAATAAGTGATTATGGCTCATCATTCATAAATCACATTCTATTTCTATCATCACCTACGGTAATGGAGTGGCAAGAGGAATATTCTTATTACGTGACTACAAACAGTAATTAGTAATTTATGATTATTTGTCACATATATGTAATTTTTTGCTTCGCAAACATATGAATATGATACAAATTTTATCACAATGAAGATCACAGTATTTTATAAGTTTTGAGGTTTGATAATGGCAATGAATTATTTACTTACTTGATTTGTTATTTGCATCACAGTTGTGCTATTCTGGGGGTTTTGTGTGATACTACTTTCAGCAGGTCTGTTTTCTGTTGTTGTCCGGCTGCAAAAAAAAAGTTTAAAACTTTAAATCTCATTTAAAATATGATTAATAATAAAGATGTATTAAATGGTATAAGGTACAATGGTACCTACAACATTATGAAAGAGCGGAGGTCCTCAAAAGTGCTCACACAATATTTTGAGTCGATCAATGGGAATATAAAGCAAAGGTTAATAAAAAAAATCATCTTTTCTCTCCTTTATTCAAAGGTTGTCTGAAAGAGGTTGCTTTAGCAATAAGATCTTTCATATGTGTAATATATAAAAATGTATATTTTTGTATTATTCTTTAAGTGGTGCAATAAAGAATAAATAATTATTATAAATAGTACCCTGATATGTTTATCCAGTGTTTAGTCCATTTTTGTACTAAATTTTATTTAAACCGGTTTAACAGTTTCAAAAAAGTTATTACAAACATTCAAAGTAATAATATTAGTAGAATTAATTTACCTAATGTCGTGTTTTCTCTCCGGCCGCTCGACGTCTCCCTTGTCGCACTTAGTGCACTCAGCATCGGGCGCCGTGTCGCAGCCGCATTCCGCCGCAGTGGGTGCTCCGCCCGCTGCCCCGCCTGCGGCACCTCCCGCTTCCGCGTGCGTGCGACGGTGAGATACCAGGTGTCCTGCCATGAACAAATTCAGTCATTGATGGTCTTAATATGATGATGATGAGTTATAGATGATGAGATGATAATAGTTGAGAACTCTAAACAGTAAAAAGAAAAATTAGTTAAAATTTCACAACACAAATTTGTTAAATCATTAAAGCAGTCTACTCTTATACCAATTATAATTACAATTCAACTATATCCATCTTCTTTTTTTAATATATCTTACAAATTTATAAAATTAATATAACAATTATATGTAGTTATTTTTAAGTTGTAATACATTTACTGACCTTTACACAGGAAGTCCTTCGAACAGACATCGCACCTGAAGGGCCTCGCACCGCCATTGCCCTTGTTATGTGACCGTTCGTGGAATAGTAGGTTGCCTTTCAACGGGAATGATTTACCGCACTCGTTACAACTGAATGGGCGTTCGCCGCAACTGTGCGATCTGTGAGAATAAAATTTGTATGACGCTAAAGATCTATATGTAACGGGAATTTTATAAATTTACCCCCTTATTTATGAAAACAAAAACCTAAAAACCTGTTTTAAGTATTACACTGTTTTCTCCCATTCATTCAAACTGAAACTTTAGCACAAAGGAAAGAGACAGCAGATCAATAGCCAAAATAGGTTTATGAGAGACTTAAAAGTTTTTATGATTAAGAGAGTTAATATGTTGTGTAGTAAAAGATTGTTTATCTTTTCGACTGCATCTGGAAGTCTTAAAAATAATGCTGTTAAGACTTCTGGATGAATTCTGTATAATTTAACAGGTTTTTGAAATACCCGTGTTATGGCAAGTCTAATCAGGTCCTGTTAATATCTTTAAATTAAAGAATCAAAACAAAATCGTTGTTCGCGTCTATTTTTCTGTTTTCACTGTCATTTATTAATTTTTTACAGAAAGTTTCAATATCATATTATTATGGAGTTTTGCCAGTAGTTGTCATGCTCGGAAGGCGGATCAGCAACCGCAGTTAGGCTTCAGAAATGTTTTAAGAGGAACACTGTTGCCCATCCCTCGCCCTCCTTTAGTCGTCTCTTACGACACCCACGGGAAAGGAAGTGGTGGCCTATTCCATGCCGGGACCACACGGCTCTACATAACATTTATATGTACAATATTTATTCATATGAAACAGAGGCAGATTGGTAATAAATAATAATTTATACAGGGAAATAATGCTAAACAGTTTTATCTGTGTATAACAACATTTTGCTGTTATACAGATTCTAAAATTAGTACATAAGAAATTCCATACCTCATATGAGTAACAAGGTGTTCTTTTCTGGTAAAGGGTTTGGCGCAGATTTTGCAGGCGTGCGGTGTGTCGCCAGTATGCTGCTTCAAGTGGTTGGTGAGATGCTCCTTACGAGTGAATGTTTTCTGGCAAAATTCGCACCGGTGCGGAGACTCGCCCGTGTGGATCCTGTAAATACAATAATAACTAGATAGTAAGTAATGAAGATAAAAAATCTATAAATGAAATTTTCAAATTTAGAATTAACCGAGTGTCGTATACTTTAAATTAATCCTTTTAAATATATGTTTGTATTTTTAGCACAATTGCTAACCAAAGTTAGTTTGGATTAACTTAACTTTTTGTTTGGTTTAATAATTAACTAAATTAGTAAACTTACATAACAGTCGTAGTGTAATCGTAATCAAAGATTATACGAGTACGTAGTACGAGATGATTATGGATATACTAAGTGAATTCTAGAAAAATACGCGTACAGTACGACTAGGCAAACGTTAAATATCTACAGAAAAGAAAGAAAGAATTTCGATTCTCGCTTATTATCTAGACTGTTGAAGGTTAATATGGGAGGCTGAAAACTTTTTGTCGTTTTTCAATTCTTTATACTTTGTTTACATTATTTAAATACTTCCATGGATTAGTAATTTTAATTTCATTCATATCAACACACACCAACAAACTATTAACAAAACATTAATTAAAATGAAAATTTATTCACACTAACCTGACATGGTTGGTCAAATGCTCCTTCCGAGAGAATGTCTTAGTACAGAACGGGCACTTGTGCGGTGTTTCGCCAGTATGGAGGTGCACATGGTTCGTTAGGTGCTCCTTCCGTGAAAAGGATTTCGTGCAATATGTACACTTGAACGGTGTCTCTCCGGTATGTTGTCTGCGGCAATACATTCTGATTAGGACCTAATTACCTACGCAACTAAGTACCGAATGAGTTAGTTAGATCTGAATGGAATAAACTGCCTCAAGAAATTATTTGGTTTCGCAATATATATTCCACATTGAAACTAAATCTTTTTAATGGCTAGGTGACACACGAGTTTTATCTCTATACGCACGTAGCTATTTGTACAACTATACTTGTGCGAATATGAGCGAAAGAAAGGTTGTTTAGACTAACCAGAGGGCCTACCATGAAATGTTTTCCGAAATTTCGGAGCCAAACGAAACATAAATTTGATGTTAAAATTACATAATACTTGCCGTTTGGATATATTTAAAATGTTAAAATATTGTTCCTTTGGACTTTTATGATCCGAAATTTCGGAATTTCATTTCATGGTAGACCCGCAGATTCTAACGCAATCGCGAGGCTGGGCGAAAATGCTGGGATAAACTGTATGTGAAGGATTTAAAGTATGTATTCGTTAACTTAATCGATGTTTAAGAAATATCTATCTAAATTCAATACGTATGTTTCTAAATATTTATTTCACTGGCTAACAGTAGATAATCTACATAAAAAAATAACAATATATTAGATTTTTTCAACTTTGCGTTTTATTCACTGACTAGCACAACGAGGACGACCAGACCTTCGTGATTGAAAAACACCACTTATCTGAACAGCTAACACAACAATGATAATTTTCTGGAAATTGATTCAGTGTTTTTTTTTCATTTTTTGTAAATAAATAATAACATGTTCTTTAGATATATTTATGAAAACAAAAAGAAATAAGTCACTTACAAACCACGTTTAAAGTAACTAATGCACTATTTAGCACTTTTACATCCTTACAGTTGAAAAAATTGCAATATTTCCGCAGTATTTTATTCTGTTGACTGTAAATAACGACATATTACCTGATATGATTAACGAGATGCTCTTTTCTCGTGAAACTCTTGTTGCAGTAGGTGCAAGAGTGCGGCATGTCGCCGGTGTGCTGGCGAATGTGGTTGTTGAGGTGTTCCTTGCGGGAGAACGCGCGCGGGCAGTACGTGCACTTGTGTGGCGTTTCGCCCGTATGCTGTCTGCACAACAGAGCACATTCCGATTTGATTAAAATACTATCTATTGCACGCCTCTAACTAAATGATTCAATTTTACAAACTCTTAAGGATTACCAAAATGGGCTAAAAAATTCAGCTGCATAAATTCTAACATAAACTATATATGTATAATTCGAACCATACAAAATAACAAATATATATAATAACACAAATGTTTTTTTTATTTTTTTTTTTATTTTGTACCGAAATATTATGAATACCATTTTGTGTAATTATAAAAAAGATGTTAGAATTAAATGCTGCCGAAGCTCACTGAAGGAGCCAAATCGGAATGCACAATGCTGTGCTACTGCTTACTTTAAAACTTCACACAAATGCCGTCTGGGAGTAACAGTTTACCGCGCAGGTTACGAGGGTCCGATTATGAATTAACTAATACAATTCTTATTATGATCTTACCTTGAGATGATTTATGAATGGAAAGAGTCATGCTATAACATGCATACTAAAGGAAACATGCTTTGGATACTAGGGTTAATCTACTAGACGGTAAGTTTTGACACAACCGTAAACATTTACAGCAGCTTGTAGCACAGCATTGTTTTCGATTCTACTTCTAATATGAACGAAAACGTATAATAAATATGTGAACATTAGAAAGTAATATGGCACCTTCTAATAATGATAGATGACGTTTAACCCTTAACATTAAATTGGTTATTGAATTTCTATAATTTTACTAGAAAGCACCATAGTTTAGATAGCGTTCCTCTTACCTGATATGGTTTGTAAGATGTTCTTTCCTTGTGAACGACTTAGCGCAGAAAGAACAACGATGGGGCGACTCTCCGGTATGTTGGCGCACGTGATTCGTCAAATGCTCCTTCCGCGTGAACGATTTAGTGCAGAAAGAACACTTATGTGGTGATTCGCCCGTGTGCTGACGGACATGGTTCACTGCAAATTTATATTTATAATTTAATACATTTTGTATAATTACTGGTGGCATTTTTATATGAATACTCTAAATAGGTTGTTGATACCGTCAAGCATATTGTCTATTTCTATAGTCTGGCAATAATATTTGGGTCATTGTAAGACAGCCAATAGAATCTGTCACAAGAAGCATACCACTTTAGTTTTCAGATATTGAAAAGTAAAAGGGGTGCCATAGGTAGTTGTAATATAATATTTTCTGTAATGGCCATAGTTTTAACTGACCCAGCAACATAAAATGACGATAACCATTATTGTAAGCACTAGTGGCAAATAAATTACTTATTTGTCTGAACATGAATTTGTCATTTGTTTATTTAATTAAAATAAGAGCAAATATTCATAAAATATAATAACAGTCTGCATAAAATATTACCTAGGTGGTCTTTCCTGGTGAATGCTTTGGGACAATATCCACACTGAAAGGGTGTCTCTCCAGTGTGTTGTCGGACGTGGTTCACGAGATGCTCACGGCGCGTGAACGATTTGGAACAGAAGTTGCAGCGATGTGGCGATTCGCCCGTATGTTGGCGGACATGATTCAACAGATGCTCTTTACGAGTAAATGTTTTAGAGCAAAAGTCGCATCTATGAGGTGTTTCACCTGTTTATTAGAAACAAACATTAATGCAGTTAAAAGAAATTAGGAAACGAAAAAGAAAAAAACAAAAATATACTTAAGTTTCGTTTTTGGCTGTTTTAGGAGAAAATCGCTAACAATAGTAGACGTTATAATGTATGAAGTACGTTAGTGTAGAATTATGTTTCTAGGTTTTATATTTCAGGAAATACTGTGATTAGTCAAAGTAGATTTTCGTTTAAAACTATTGCATTATAGAAGTTTCGAAAGAATATGAAAAAGTTCTGTGGGAATGAGAGAAAATTTTATTTTCATTGATTCTTGTGAGAGTTGCCTAAAAGTCTTATCATATAAAGAATCTTTATACCATATTTTATGTTTTTAGGCTTTATGACGTAATTATGATATTAAACATTATACATATAGTAGGAATAATTTAAAAAAATAATAATAATGAAATAAAAATGATTAAATAATTGATTTACACCAATAGATATATCGTGCATACACATGCATATGTTAATATTTACAGAGCATTCGTTCCCAAACACTAACAGATATAGAACATATTTGTTTGTTATAAGTGTAACATCGGAAAATCCAAGCCTTACACCAGGAGCACAGTACAATGGGTGTTGCCGCCGACAGTGCTAATGACGTGCCACCGTTCTCCGTGTGTCATTACCAATGTACAGCGCGAAATAAAAACTATACTAACCCGTGTGCCACATAATGTGATTGGTGAAGTGTTCTTTTCTTGTAAAAGACTTGCCACACAGTTCGCATCGGAACGGAGTATCGTTTGTATGCGATCTCATATGGTTCACTAAATGCTCGTTCCTAGTGAACTTCTTGTCGCAAATTTGACAATGATGCGGCGTTTCACCTATTTGGGTGGGCAGAAAATAAAATGTTAACATTCAATGATGCAACTATATCTCTCGCGGCTCGTATCCATGTTATTGTTCCCGTTTCGTGTGAGTGTTAGTGGTTTAGCAATATATGCGAGTCCACTTATTTACTTATGTTATATTGTTAAAGCTAAAAATAGTTGAATCATTCAATAACTTTTCTACTTTCTGCACCACTGGTAAGAGCCCATAATCTGGTGCAGGCTTGGGTGTTCCATATAAGCTAACAGGAAATTAATTATCTATTATCAAAACACGAATATATTTAAATTTCTTTATTAATTTGTATTCAAAATAAAAATAACTACACCTACATAGAATGTATGCACATACTCTTTTTACTAACATGCAACTAACATTATGTGATTAGATTAAAAAAGTATTGCATCATTAAAATAAAGGTGATTTATAAGAAATATAATATGCGCATTGATAAATAATAATTTGCGTAAATAATAAAAAAAAACTACATACATATTATTTAACTACCGAATGTTGAAAAAATTTGTAAAAAAAATATTATAATAATAATAAGTTTCCTACAATATGCTTAATAATAATATAATACAAAATAATACATATTAATATTCCATTTGATTAAAAACTTTTGTACAAAGTGATATGATCAAATAAAGCTATTTATATTTTAGAATCAATATTCTTTAGATGTTTAAAATGTTGCTTTGTTAAAAAAAAATGGAATATTTCAAATTCATCAGGGCTGCCAAACTTCATATTTAATAAGATATAGTATAATATATAAATCTGTAATTGTAATTTAATGATTAAAATATAATAATTGCAGTTTTTAACTTTTTTGACAGGAGACATTACAATGTATCCACACAATGCGTATAGCGCAACGGGCTACTTTGTGTTTGTCTTCCACCTTAAATTATCTCAAAAAATTTTTAGATGGCAACCCTAATGATAGAATAAGAGATAAACCGGACCACTATGAGACATACCAGTGTGCCACATAACGTGGTTCATGAAGTGCTCCTTCCTAGTGAAGCTCTTCTTGCATATCTCGCAGCGATGCGGCGTCTCGCCCGTATGTTTTCGCACATGGTTTACCATATGCTCCTTACGCGTGAATGTTTTCGAGCAATATTCACATCTGTATTGACAATTTCGATTTATTAAATGTAATGTCTATAGAAATATAACACAATTTATATCGACTGCGATTTAATAATAGATTAATATATTAAGTTCATTTTATTATTATAGTTTATTTAAAAAATTAAAAAAAAAGACGTTCTTTATTTGACGGTAAATCTTGCATCTTACCTTCGCATATTCTATATCGACAGTGGTGAGTCATTTTGTGATCGATAAGGTTTACTTACTGTCGTTAATGGTCTCGTACTAATTTTGTTAACATTGAAATCCATTATTTTGTGAAATAAAATCGGAAGTGTGGATATTTGGTACCACAAAATGTGTACAGCAAATAGCCTATAATTTATTCCAATAAATAAAAAGTAGTGCATGTTTTATAAATCAGTCAGCTTATTTGTACGTTACATTTTCACCTCTAGACGGTTGAAAAAAAATTTGCAGATAAAATGTGAAGGTCAAGAATGAATATAGTTGATGTCATTATTATTTTCTGAGAAATAGTTTTAATACATTTATTGAACATAAAATGCCAAACAAATTGATAGGTCATCACACATGAAAAGCAAAATTAGGAATTTATGTATACACTTTTCCAATTAGAAATACAATAAAAATAGCTTAATACCTATATGGAGTCTCTCCAGTATGGCTGCGGACATGGTTGTCGAGATGCTCTTTCCGAGAAAATGTTTTGTGGCAAGTGGTGCAGGCATACGGTTTGTCTTGAGTTGACCTCTTTGCATGTCTCTCAGCTGGATCTCCAGCTATAATGATAGTCTTATATTAACTTTACAGTAAGTTCTGTAGTCAAGGAAATAAATGAACAATTTCTTTGTATCTAAGTTGCTAGTGAAATTTAATCCAATAATTAAGACGCACATAAATAAGTCCCTTCAATCTAATTTACATTGAGAACTAGTAGAACTACAAATAGTGGAACGAAAATAGTTTTCGGGTATCATTTGGGCACCTTTCACTGTAAGACCAGTTTTATTTACAAATCTCAAATTAATTTCATGTATGATACTTTATACTAGTGTCGTAATGTAAGTTAGGTTTATTTGTCTTAAGACAGACAGACAGGGGGGAAGAGATCGTTAGTAAATAAACTAAACTCCCGTTAGTCTATGTCCCATTAGTAATATACCCTATCAGGTCGACCTCCACGCGGTTTCCCCTGGAAACTATCGTGACTAATTTATCGTTGAATTCGTCACGATGGGCTAACTGACCTACCTTTTCATCCTCACCTATCACCTCTTACTGGAGGCGGGGTCACTATTCCATTATCATCCATTAAAAAACACACAGACAGACAAACATATAGTATAGTAATTTTGTGACCATTGTGATTACAATACAAAAATGGATGCCAAGAAATTATCGACCTCCAACCCACCCTTTTTTTGACAGCCATCCACAATCCGTCTATCTCTTTCTTTTTCAGTAAACAAGTTGTCAGGGTTGATCATAAAAAAAAGAAAAAAGCAAAGAAAGGGAGATAGAAGTACCGTAACTCAGGACTATCTTAATTTTGTGTAATAACACAGTTACGAAAAATAAAACTTTTAATTTGATATCATATCATACTCTTGTACTGCAAGCATTATATAATACACAGTTAAGTAATAGAGAGGAAACAAAACGGTTTGTAATAATTTAAACTTCCAACAAACTCAAAAATAGTGGTAAACATAATTAACAAAACAAATAGTTAACCTATGTAAAAATCGTTAAATTTAATCGTTAATACATTAGACTAATTGGAGTAATAAATATTAAAATATCTTTAGAAACTATTAAATTTATAATATTAGGTTAAATATAGTTGAATAAATTATAAATATATGAATCATCTTACATATATTTCTTTATCAACTAATGTTACCAATTAACAGTACCTTGTCATATAAATGTCATATACTTATGACTAATGATTTTACATACCAAGATGACATTTTCCGTGTCGTGACAGTTCGACGGGATTAGCAAACGCCGAACCGCATACTTGACACGTGTATGGTTTGCTTTCGCCATGATATCGCCTGTACAATACAATACATTGTCAATTAAAAAGCACTAATCATTATCCACAATTACACAATGGGGAAATGGTAAAGATTATCAGAGGTAATGTATAGAAATAAAATATTTATTAATATACATGATAGGGTATAAGTCAACATTTTAATCTTCATGAATAGCCACACATTAGAGGTACCATAGACGTCAAAGTATATACACGTCACTAATAGTATCTTCCACCAGCATATAGTTTACCATTCAAAGTTGTATAAAAAATATGCGAAGGTTTGTTACGCGAAATGTAGGCTTGTCGAATGTTACATTTATCACCACAGCACCGATTTTAGTTAGACGAGAGCAAAATTCGTTCAAGTTAATTAATATCAATAATTTTATTTCAATGGTTACTACATGTTTAGCAACTTTTTTGAGATAGTTATTATAATAATAACTTTATTTATTTCCTCTAAACAAAATTAGCTTGTAGTAAAATACAACTATGACCCCACACTAGGCAAAGCCTGTCTCGTGGAAGTCAAAGCTAGAAATTTAACAGTTACAGTTATTATGTGTCAATATTTCAAGTAGTTTATCATAATAATTATATATTCCTAATGTTGGATTTCTTAACAAATTTAAATACCTGTGAACAATAAGTTGGTAGCGAAATTGGAAGGACTTCCCGCAAATGTCACAGGAGTGGTGGCCCGGGGAGGACTCGGATTCTGCCAGGGTGCCACTGGTACCTGGCTCTACCTCCACTTCATTTATTACCTATATAAACAAATTAGCACTTTAAATTTAAAATAATGAAGACAGTTACAAATAGATTATTGTACAGTAAACACAAACAATAGCCAATAAAATATAACCTATTATATATGCCCTCCTTAGTCATATTGTAATAAAAGGAGCCATGAAGCAAAGTAAAATTATACTATAAATGTAGTGGTATTAAATGAGTTTAGTTGTTTGTTACTCAATTACACTGAACAGATTTAAATGAATTTGGTAGATTGATAAAACAGCTCTGATTAACACATAGGATATTATTTATCATGTAACCCTATGGATTACAACTAGGAATCAGGGATCATACCACAAATATAAAACTATACTGTTATTTTACTCATACCTTTGTTTGCTGTTGTCCTTCAGCATTGAGTTTGCCAAACACTTCATGGTAAGCAAGTAATTGGGAGAGATCTTCCACATTTACTTTGTACATAGCATGGAGATCATGCTCTGATGATCCTGCAGAAATCTTCACCACTGCACCCTCCATACCCATTGCACCAACACTCTGTTCAAAAGTGTATGTTTTAAATGTTTTCAACAAAAAAAAAAATGGAGCTATTCTTATAGAAATTAAAGAAATGTGTATATTAATGTTTCAGGAATAAAAGTTTCATATATTAATAGCAACTACTTACAAATTTTTGAAATATTACTTATTAACTTATCAATTCACTGTATAGTTTATATGGCACAACCTTTAACAAACTCATGCTTAATGTAGGTGCAATAGGCATAATACATTAACATTGATAAGATTAGCAATATATTTACTAAATCATACATATAATCATTAAGTACTCACTTTCAAATCAATACCCTTAATGTCCTTTATATCTGCAGGTATAGCAAACTGAGCTGTCTCCATTTTGCTAGCGCTTTTTTCATCTTTGACTATTGCCAACGGGTCAGCCGCGCTGGCTTCTATGGAAGTGGTTCCGTCAGGGTTATGCGTCACCAAAATATTGGCCGGTTCACCGGTTGCCTGCTCTATACGAACCACGCTGTCCAATACCTATAAAAATATTGGCAATTGAAATGTGTGTGTTCAATAAAGCAAAATTTTCAAATGGAAAACTATATTCAATAGAATATGCAATACTACTTATGTGACATCATCTAAAATATTGGTTCTGGTGGTGACTAGTTTCTGGTGTGAATTTACGTGTCATACGACACTGGTTTCTTTAATCATCTTATTTTAATTGAATGTGTTTTATGAAACTAATGCATACATTAGAAGTTTCCAGATTAATCTGTTGACAAAAGTATTATCATAAAACTAGTCATATTCCATTACTTTCATAATTAATTCATGGTTCATATTTTTGTTGTTATAGCATACTTTATTTATAAATTGTAGATCTTGGTTGTACACTATTTTTATTTACCTGAAACCTCAACAATATAAAAAAAAACTTAGTCTAAACAAATACAGGTATAGAATGCTTTCCACTACTATCCATTATTGCTAACACTGAAGATTAGTCACTGCGGTACCTGTTGTCCAACTATCTGCTGCAATTGATGTACTGTGAGTGTGTGGTCTGTGGGCATTTTGATTGCCTCGTGTAATTCCTCCTTATCCACAAGCTTCCCTCCACCTGGCTCCACAACTGTTACAATGCCATCTTCACTGACAGTTAATTGTATCTGTAATACAATTTAGTATGAAAATTCTATAACTAAAAGTTATAAATAAGAATGAAAATCTAATTTAATCGGAACATAAAAAGAAAATAGGATATAAATATATTCCACAAATATACAAAATTCATCACCGTAAGTCATTTGATAATCTGTAACTCTCCATTTGTACTAAAATACAACATGTTTTCTACTGACATTTACAGTAATAAAAAATATGTTTTATACACATTTACGAATATTTATACAGCTTGAAAGGAATGGTCTATAAGCATCTTACATGCCTAATACACAATATGTATAGTAAAAACACAGTATTAGATCCAGTGGATCCTAAGTTCAAGAGATAGATTTGAGTTTTATTACAAGTTAATATTTTTTTAATCTCTTTTTTAAATATCTTCATGCTGTTTAAGTGGTATATTATATTATTGTATCTATAGAATTATTATAATATAGTATACAGACCAAGTTAAGACCTCATTAAAGCTTAGTTATTGCCAATCCACATGCCAAGCGTAGCAACTACTCGAAAATCTCCTAAGAGGAATGCCTATAATCAGCAGTGAACAGTTAACGGCTGATATGATAAATCATCAGGAATTGATTACAACAGTTGTGTTGTGTAGTTTAGAAATGATCTAGTAGTGAGATCTCATTATTTTTTCAACCTGTATTTAACAAATCTCTTTAGGTATTAGGTCTTACATGGAGAGTCGTATAAAACGAAGATGCAGCTCATATTATATTTAAAAATATTGGAATTATATATATCATATATGATAATAGCATAGTGATATAGTGATGAAAGCAGACAAATTAATGGGTGTTAAAGGATAAAGACATTAAAAGCTATTGATATGGTTTTGTATAGCAATAGCCTTTAATGTCGTAAAGTTACTTATAGATACAAAAAGCAATACAACATATTATATACTCATATGCTAGTTACAAATAGGTCAGTGACATATCAAAGAAATATAAAAAAATATACTCAAAATTATTGCCAACATAAAGATTTTAAAGTGAGCGGGGTTTGAATCCACGCTACACACGCCATTTATCCTTTGGAACGATTTTAATATTTTGATGGCATTACGATAATAATTTGCAATTAATAAAATCACAAAGTCTAGAAGTACAAATAAATGTAAAAATCTAATAATAATAAAACTACAAAATGTAATATATGCCTAATGATCTTACCTCACTGACCTGTTGATTGATGGAATAATAAGCAGCGTGAAGTACAGGAACATTTGTTTTACAAGTGCACAATGTATGGGGGCAACTTACAATATAAGTTTCAATTGTAAAAATTAAATAAATAAAATAGACAAACCTGTTGATTCGTATGCTCTGGCCGAGTACTAGCCATCAGTTGTTGTTGCATCAAATGCTGCTGTGAATGATGCCCCTGAACATATAAAAGTTTGTTTTAGACACATTTCAATCAATATTATAACACATTATATTTAATAAATTCAAGCCAATGATTTGCGGTGTTTTATAGGAACATCAATCACATTTATTATTACTTTAGGATGACAACATTAATCATCCAAGATATTTTAAAGATTTACATGCACATAACAATTGAAGGAAGATATTACATGCAAATAATAATTAAATTATTGTTACATTTTCTTTTTTCCTTTTTATAATTTCCTGTCTACTAGAAGGTTGAGATAAGAAAATAGTGAAGCTTTCTATAGATTTCAAGATCACTTTTAACAATAGTTAGGTCCATTCATGCATCCAACTGATACCAACCTCACAAGCTTGAGGGTATTATGAAATTCTATTCTCTACACAACAGCAACATATGTTTAGCATTCCCGCTAATAAACGGAATGAGTTACCACATGATTTACCATATCAATGTTATGGTGTTGTACAAACTCGACCCGATTATTGGGTACCTGCTGATGAGTGGGTTGGCCTGGAGTAACAGTGACCTGTGCTCCAGCACTTGAGGCTTGCTGTGCTAGCTCTTGCTGTTGATTATGTGCCACCAGTGCTTCTGTAACAAATTAATCCTATTAATATAATAAATATGGGATATGGCGTGAATTTACAGGGTACAGAGGAATAACACCTGAGCCCTCAGGAATGGCAATGTATGGGGGGTATCATGGGGGAAACAGTATTATGTCCATGGTATTGCTCATGTCTATAGGCGACGGTTACCACTTTCCATCACATGTGCCGTCAGCTTGTTTGCCATTCTAAGTTGTATAAAAAAAAATGTGAAAGTTAGTAATGATCGATAGAATGCTTGTTACTCTTTGTAAAAACTACTGAATAGATTTGAATGAAATTTGGTACATGGAAATGCTAGTAACTTAACACATAAGATATGTACAGATTCATGTGAGTAATGCCGCAGGATACAGTTTGATATAATTCACTGTAATGTGACATCTGAAGGGAGTTTAGATTATATTTAAAATATTTGCATTTAGTTTCACAGAATAGTGTATGTTACTTATGTATAAAAACTTCAGCCCTAAATTATTAAACCTACTACTATTTAATTATTATTAATATTGAACTATTTAATCAAATACAGAGTTACCACCTAAATCTTTTTTTATACTTCATATAGATTGTTACTTTCTGTGAACATATAGGTTAATTTAAGGTGTTTAACAAGAAAAAAATCAACTCATTTTTTATAGAATGTGATTAATACAAATGTAAACACATATATAATGAATAAAAAAGAAATCAATAATGCATTAGTAATAGATTATGCATGACACAACCAGAGGGAGACTTTGTACAAAAGTCAAAGGTACCTCTGTCCCATTCGTGTTTCAACTGTGAAGCAAGTTTGTTTGCATGGCTGTGTTTTGGTTTGAAGGGTGGGATATGGAGTGAATTTACTGGGTACAGAGGAATAACACCGGAGTCCTTAGGAATGGCAATGCATGGAGGGTATCATCATGGGCGAAACAGTATACTCTGTTATTGTTGTTTGCCATACTAAGTGGTATAAAAAAAAACATACATAAAAAGAGAATATAAACATATAACGTTTATATTCTCTTTTTATGTATGTTTTTTATATACATACTCATACATTATTTAAAAAGAAGTAAAATGTAAATACCATGTGCTTGTCCTGATTGTGTAGCAATAATTTGGGACACAGGAATTTGTTGGGCCCCAGCAGAAACAGTGACTTGTGGTTGACCTGCATGATGGCCCAAGATGATGTTGGGGTCTCCATTAAGTATACTGGCATGTGCCTGTCCCAAATCCTGGAGTAAAAAAATGGAAATAATTATATTTAAATATACAATGTCTGCCATATTATTTCTTTATGTAGGTGGGTACACATTTATATTTGTAATTATATATTTAACAGAAAATAAGGATATATATATTTATAGTATTGCATGTATTTCATCTCTATATGTATTTAAATATAACAATTGTTATCATGCCTCTGATCAAACTGTTTATAACTACTCTTCTTCATCCAAAAGTTGTCTGGAAGAGACTGCTTTTAGCGATAAGGCCACCTATTGTTTTCTCACTGTGAACATTTCTTGTAATTGTTTATATCTATCTATAAGTTTACTAGTCTTATCTTTTGGTAGAAACAATAAAGTATTTGTCTATATTTTTGGACATAAAGGATAAAAGGACATATGTTGTTTATGCAATACACTAATGTAGTTACAGATCTTTGATAACTACAGCAAATAGCTAGTTCTCATATTGTTAAAGGATACAATTATATTTACATGTTCAATAAAAATAGTCGCTACATTTCATAATGGTGTTATTTTTATCAGATAGAAAATATCAACAAATTTCTTATATATTTCTATGAACTGTTATCAGTTTTAATTTTTAGTTATTAATATAATTGTAACTTACACAATACCTATTAGCTGTAGCTGTTAATCTTATTAACTGCAGTATTTTTTAATAACTACTATTGTTACTCAACCATTTTCTATAAACTTTAATTATTATCCATATTGTAGTCAATACTGAGTATAAATATCTATTAACATTGTTGCCAATAAATCTTAATTCCTATTTTTTACAATCCTCTTTTTTATTATATAGATAAGAAATTTTACATACAATAATCACAATTGGTAGTTTAAGGAATTTGTTAGAGCCTTTATTAATTTCAATGATTTAATACAAGAGAATTTAAAATAAAAAGATATTATGACAGCTTTAATTTTCACAGTACAAATAATGGCTAGCAGCCTTATATTTTTAGTTTTGTTTAGTATCATAGTTCTCACACATGCATAGTGATCTAACATGACTTATCATTATCAGACATATTGTATACCTAATTTCTTCCTAAAAATGATGACTAATATTTTTTTTAGAAAAACTTATATTTTTACCTGAACTGGTTTTCCATTTTCTATTCGTGTTCCAGTTGGTAGTCCGTAAACAGAAACTTGTGGGATGGGGCTCGGAAATAAATTTGTAAACACCCAATATTTGGCGACGCTAGACAAAGCAACGTTTACGGCCGCCGAATTCACTCTCAAGTCCGTCGCAGAGGTTGTTGCAGGCATATTACTTGCTTGTTGCTGCTGTGCATTTTGCACTCTTTGACTCTGAGACTGCAATGAAAAAGTGCATATTAAATGTGTACTTAAATAAACAAAAAATAATTTCTCAAGATTCCACGAACCTCTGAACTTCCAGGAGGTTGGCCACCACCCGTATTGATATTATGATGTTCTGGATTCATTGTCAGTCCCCACAATATTAAAAGTTAACAACTTTCACTAAAATATTTACAATAACACATTTTTACATTTTAGGCATCGGCATTGTCATAATTTGACTGTCATCGAAATGGAGGCGCGGGGGACGCGACGGGCCGCCATTATGAAACTTAGCGCACAAAAACATATTCATGAATTTTTCCTGTGGTACCTTTGTTTACAACACATTAATATACAACTATCTTAATACCAAATTTAGACGATATTAGTTTTGTTATTTGTATAAAATATACTTTTTATGTTGACCTAATGTGAAAATCTATAGAAAACACTGATTTCTTTGCACACATACACGAAAGAACGAAAGTTTAGTCACGATCAGATATCAATTCTACCAACACTAATACCATAGCACTCAGTGCACAAGGTAGTTAATTGTAATATAATTATCATCGTAATCTTACAAAATACAGATTAAATAAATATAAAATTTAAATTTTATATATTTTTTATATTAACTGCCACGAAAAGAGTAGTAACCGATATTTTAGTTAGTTCTCTCGAAAATTTTTAGTTTAAAGAATTCTTGATAGATGGCGCTATTTTATAAATATCTGTGGTATTGCAGCCAACATGGAATTAATAACGAAATTTTAACATTGCGTTCAGTTTTCTGATTATTTAATATTGTGTTCATGTGTTTAGTATTTTATTGAATTGTGTCTTGTTAATAAAAATTCCACAAATGGTAAAATTGAGTATAATGCAGTAGCGTAAAAGTTCTTTTGTAGTGTAACAAAAAAAAACCCATTTCCTAATAAATTTATTTGAAAAAATAACACGTCGAATAACACATCAGTGACTTAAGATGAAATAATTAAAATTTTGTACTAAACAAAGAAATTTCGATTTCAATTGAGATAAAATAACTTATTATGGCATCAACACGGAAATAAACTCTATTAATTGTAAAAATAACTTTAAATAAAAGTACAGTCACAGTACTTGGTACAGTTGAACATTAAGTTGAACATAGAACCTCCTCCTTTTCCAGAGTCCGTTAAAAATCAGTTTATAATTGGCGAAAATATCTAGTAAGGTACGTGTAAGGGACATGAAAAATACAAACGAATATAAAGCCTGCACGTTTTTAAAGTAGGTAATTTAAAAATAATTACGTTACTGCAAGCATACAACTTTTAGAAATTAAATATCTTTGTCCCATTCGCGTTTCTGCCGTGAAGCAAATGTGTTTATATGGCTATGATTTGGTTTGGAGGATTTTTTTTTGATGTGTGAAAATGGTATGGTAACCCGCCTGCGCTAAAGGGATACGTTGGCGGAGCACCAATGAAGGGTGATTGATGAGAATGAAAACAGGCCAGTTAACCCATGATGATGAATTCATTAGGAATTAACCATAGTAGTTTCCAGGCCGAACCGCGAGGAGGTCCACCTGGTTGGGTATTTTGCTAGCAATGGGATTCTCGATTTCCAGTGTGTGCTATCATAGGCGATACAGTATATTCTGTTATGTCCATGGTACTGTTCATGTCTATAGGCGACGGTTACCGCTTTCCATTAGGTTGTCCGTCCGCGTAACTATTCCAAGTTGCATAATAATAAAACTAAGCGTGTAAAAGTTATTCTTTCATTATTCACGTAATTATTACCTACTATAATATATAAAACTCTTGTGTGGCGATGTTCTTTCATGCAGATAGCTCCAATTTGAGAAGTAGAATACTTTTTATTCCCGTAAGAAAATTTTTTTGGCGTTTGGGGCAATACAATTGGTGGTTTTTTTTACTGGATGATAATGGAATGGTAACCCCAACTACACTAACGGTATACGCTGGCGAGGCGCCAGTGAGGGATGAAGATGAGAATGGAAAGGTAGGTTGGCTCATCGTGATGAGAATACATCAGAAATTCAGCACGATGGTTTCCAGGGGGAACCACGTGGAGGTCGACCTGATAGGGTATATTACTAGCAATGGACTGATAGTTCGTATAACAATCCCTCCCCCCGAATTGGTGGTGTTATACGAGTATAGTTTAATTAAAATAATCGACACGTTTTGCAAGGTAACTTAATTTATTTTCTCACTGGTTGTTATATATTCGTACAGGGTTACATTAGGCCAGAAGGTCCCGGGTGGCAGACCAGTCCGGGGCCCAAGACTAGATGATGGCAGTTGTACCAGTTGGTAGCGGCACTGCAAGCCCCGCAAGCTAGACCCACAGAGGGGCCACGCAGGTTGAGGCCCGGGTAGAAAATGCCACCTCGAATCTATGGCTAGTCCTACGCTGGTTATATAATTAATTAATTTATACATCTTACAATGATAATCAATCTGATAGCTCATCTAATGGAAACACGAACAACCCCATGGACAACATAGATCATACTGTGTCAACTATTGTATTCCTTATGAATTGCCGTTCCTGAGGAATATAGGTGCTATGCCTCCGTACCGTAAATTTCATTGTAATCTCCATATAAATAGTGAATGTCATTTGTTTTTCTTCCATTCGATTTTTTTTTATTACTAATATCCTGTATTAGGTATAAAAGTTGAAAGACTTCTTTGGCAAAGTTCCAGCATCGTCCATAAATATGCATCTACTACTTAATTCATAAAAAGTGCAATTGAACAGGATTTCCATGAGGGAGGTTAATGCAACGGAACCACTAAGATTTGTTTGTTATAGGTACGTGTACGTTGAACGTAGTGGTCCGAAGTCAGACGGAACTCTAAGCAAACTACGTTTCGATTCAGTAATAACAGTGAGGCTACTCAGACTGCGCGCCTTTCCACCCGCGTGCCGCGTAAACGTTTACGTTAACTTTGAAAACTTTTTAAATATAAAACATTGCAATATTGCTGTTTGTTTTTATATTTTGTGAAAGTGCGTTGCATTTCCCAGGGACATTTAGGATGAGTCTATTGCCACGATCTTAAATCGGACGTTCCACTCAGCTGATATTTGTTTTGATTAGGAAACGTCGTTTTGTCGCCGGCCGGTCATCCATTGCAGGTATGATGTACTATTAGTCCTAAAAACACATAAAATATCTTTAATTCCGTGCTCAGTCAGAGGTCGTCAACATTGCTTTAATGATTTAGCAATTCAAGTATGGCGTTGGCAAACGAGGAAATTGTTGTGGTTTCGCGCCACAGACATTCAAATTGAATGGAAATTTTAATTTATTTGGAAAATTACTACAGTATTGAGTCAAATAAAAAATATGTGAATGAATATCGTCATCACTTCTAGAAAAACAATGGAATTTTAAACAATGAATTATATTGGTTGTTATAGAAAAGTAACTCAATTATCAACTTTAAACTTTATATTTATAATGTTATAACTCTAATTATTCTAACATTTGGTATACCTAACAGTTGCGAATTGCGAGGTTCTGAAATTCAATGTAAGCTATTTACGTGGGTAATATAGAATTTAGGACACCTAAACAAACATTAAGTATCTATTTCTTGTTTACATTATACTAATTGTCATAAGTATCTATATGGATAATAAATTTTAAATGTTGAAATTAATTTATTAAGATAACTACCTAATAAATTACTTCATTTCGAATTTATGATGATGCATGTTATTATGAAATTATGTCTGTGAAACAATGTGTCATTGGGTCATGCACTGCACATAATTCAACACAGAATGGTCAATTACTTACAGCAATGATAATTAAATTATGTAGGTTAATAAAGCCTTAAAAAATAATTATATTGTTACATGTTTAGAAATATATGTACCTATTTTTTTTATGAATTTTGGCAACAGAGATTCGTTTAGTACACATGTATGCTTGTAACTACGAGTAAACTGTCAGTTTATCTCATATTGAGTTTACTGGAAGAAATCTCTTTTAGAGATGTACTCGCTCTTGTGCACTATTGAGAGACACCACACACTAGAGAGAGATTTTGTACAAAAGTCGTTTGCTTGGGTACCTCTGTCCCATTCCTGTTTCTACCGTGAAGCAGTTGTGTTTGCATAGCTGTGTTTCAGTTTAAAGGGTGGGACGTGACTGTGAATTTACAGGGTACAAAGGAGTAACACCTGAGTTCTCAGGAATGGCAACGCATAGGGGGCATCATGGGCGAAATAAGATACTCTGTTATGTCCATGGTACTGCTCATGTATATAGGCGATGGTTACCACTTTCCATCAGGTGGGTCGTCAGCTTGTTTGGCATTCTAAGTTGCATAAAAAAACTATTATGTTTAATTATTATTCTGATATAATACCTTTTGTGTACAATAAAAAATAGATATTTATTTACTTCTGCACTTCGTTCTCTCTGTCTATGCCATACGGAAATTAGCGTGAATGTAGAGACTAACGATAAAGTCGCTTGTTATGCACTATACATAATTACGTACTTACAACTACATTCGTTACGTACGTTACCTTATTATCTACTAGGTGCAAAAATTACAGTTTCCTATTGATGTTCGTAATACAAGTAGTACATAAGTGATCTTAACTAACAACCCAGAACGTTTAGTTTGGATTTTTTAAAATATTTTTTTTTAAAATAAATAAATTTTCAATAGGCAAATCGTGTATAGAAAAATAAAATTTATATGGACAAATTTTATGTAATTAGATATTTAGGTACAGTTATAAATATGTCTAGAAATTTATTATAATTACAATACATAATATTTCTTAAAAAGAACATCGTTAGCATTGTACGCAATATATAAATGGGGTATTGATATAACGATGAATGTAAGAAGCAAGTCCTTAAATATTTATAATACAGTACAGTTTAATAACGTAGGTACTGAAGTAAAATAAAGAAGAGAAGTGTTACATGGTTTATACGTTTTTATTTACACTAATAATAGATTAGATACCATGAAAGGAATTCGGAGCATACAATTAGGTAGGTGCCAAAAGACGAGATATTATTGAGCAAGCACAGATTCGAAGCAACTTGATAGGATTGGTTAGGTTATTAAAAATATTTACACTTACTCTTTACAAAGTTTTATCATCTATTTTATCGATTATCATTATTTATAATGGTTTTACAACATTACAATGATTATTAGATATAGGTATATCATTCCAAAGATGAAAACAATTTAAATAAAATAAAGAAAACAATAATTATAAATCTTCGATTATGGTGATGAATCGATCGTGTACAAGTCACAGGGCAAATAATTATTACGTTATAGTACAAGTGTTATCAAAAAAGACATCATATAGATATTATTTTTTTCTAATGAAAGAATTAAAGCAAGGCTAATTAAAATGCAAATATTTTAAAGCAAATTAGTGAAAAAAATTATATAATTTCCAAGATGGTCCATCGAGATATTAATAAAATAAAAATTAATAAAGATGAAAAAAAATCCATAATAAAAAATACAAGTCATAGAATAGGAATATAGCGCTATAAAAATGGTAAGAAATCATGTTGAACCAAGGATGCTAGACTAGTCACTACGTGAAATCTCACAAGATTTTAAGAAAAAAGATTGGAGAGAGTTAGTTGTATTGTAATATAAGGGTAAATGTAGAAATATTTGATAAAATTTTGCCAATAACATGCAAAATAAAGTGCCCACATTTCAAACTATTAGTAAGGAATAATTGAATTTGTTTTATAAGTTACATAGCTCGGTTTGTTTCAGCGCATGCCATTGCATAATCAAAAGTATAAAACTGGTTACAATGGTGCAGAGGTGCTGGTATAAACATAGCGCTGGTCTGTTTACAAATTATTGCATTACTGGCGATTTTATGAACATTCAACGCGATATTATTGTTCTAATATTGAGAGTTTTCTTTCTTTGTTCGCTGCAATTGATGCCTGTATTATCGAGCTTAAATTATAGATCCAACAACTTTTGTTTCATTTTTTAAGCGTCTCCAGAACGAGGGGGTTATTGAATCGCCTGTATTTTTTTTATCTTCATGATGATATAATTTATTTTGTTTATATTAAGGACGCTGTTTTTTTTCGAAGCAAAATCCTGTTCGTTACGATGCGACGTTTGCTTGTAGATGAACGCTTCAAGTTTCTCAATCCAAATATTCTAAAAGTAATGTATCTATAAAACATTTAATTATTTATTGGTCTGTTTTATCAGGTCTGAAGTCGTTGTTTTTTCTTTGTTTAATAAAATGTACTTATAACTAACTAAAAACGATGCACAGCCAAGATATGAGGGTTGGAAATTTTTTAGATATAATAGGTTTCTTTACTCTATCAAAATTTCACTAGAAAATTTTTCCATTAATAATGAAATTGTTTGGGCGATTGGAAATAACAAATGAAGCCATGGGGAATAGCTAGTTATTAATAATTTTATTAGAAACAATACCTAAGAAGACAAATGTTTACTCTAAAGCAATATCGATAGGTCACTACAATCGAGAGCCCGATGTGGGGTCCCCTATGCGCTCCAGTCAACATTGCTTGTAATCACGACCTTTCAAAAGATAGGAAGTAGGGGACTAAATTGTACTATTATTTTTCTGTGAGCAAACGTAAAAACTGTAAGTACCTACCTACGTATGTTAGAAATATCAACAACTAGTTATGTTATCACTTATTTTTAATCTGTAATTTAAAGCAATTTCCTGTACATAATATAATAGTCATTTCTTATTCATAGAGTAATTTATTTTATTGTTTTGTTTTTATGTCGCTGTATCTATATATAGATGGTATACCAATAACTATTACTAGACAGTGTCTGTATACACATCAACAAAAAATACTAGATAAATTTTGATGAAATGTGTACTACAAGGTGACAACTTGCTTTATTTACGACATACGAGTATACGTTATCTATTACTGCAGTAAAATGTCTAATTTCCATGAAAAAAATAAACGTAAATTCGGTATATCAGCATCTATAACTACTAGTAGTTTATATGAAAGGAAAAACTGCCTAACTAATGACACAGCCAAAGCTGTCGTCAAAGAGTGCCAAGGACGATACAGTATATTTAGTCTATGGTATTGTATAAGCCTATAGTCGGCGATTACTACATTTACATTATCCTCCTAATGGATCATCAGTACCGTCAACATGCTTGGTTTTTTACAAAGAAAAAATCACAATGAGAACTACAACAATCATAATAACCGAAACTGTTTTAAATGAAGATTTTTCATGATTTTAAAGACCTATAAATGGAATAAAGTATTTAATACGGGAGAGGGGGGAAGAGATTGTTTGTAATGGAATTGCTAACAAAAAAATACCCTATGCGATTGATCCTGATCGATCTCTATCCTATTTATGTCTTCTTTCTAAAAAATGATGTGGTTAATAGGTTAAATGAGCTGCTTTCATCCTTACCTGTATCTTGTCAGCATATACCTATAGCACAAATGGGGTTATCATTCCATTATCATCCGTAAAAAACTGTCTAATAATATAGCTGTACCAGCACTTTCATTTGTATGACAGAAAAAATATCCTATGTTCTTTATCTTAAATTTGTATTATCCATATGCCAAATTTCATGCAATAAAATATAACAAATAAACTACTTTTTAAATTGGTACTGCATTGTCAGTAATGCAGATTAACGACTCCATTATTCGTCACGATGGGCCAATGACTTGACTTCATCCTCACCTATCGTCCCTCACTTGAGCTCCAGGGTAAACCAATAGTATACGTGGTGTTACCATTCCATTTAATCAATAAAAATACTAAATATATTTACAGTTAGGCAGCTAACAAAGCTACTTGTTTTTTCTAGATAAAAATTTACATTAATAACAGTAAATTATGAATGATTCAGTAATGATTACAGTATTGACAACAATTGTGTTTACAATGAAAGTGACTGAAAGACCGAAGTTCAATATTTATTTTTTATACAAATGCCTAATTAAAGTACACAAATTAAGGTATCTACGTTTAACTTTTTGAGCTATGTTAAATAAACTTCTCTCGATTATATCCTTAAGGAATAATTATGTCTTTAAGGAATGTAAAACCTATTCTACCATTCCTCAACATACT